GCTGCCCCACAGCTCCCTACATGCCCATGGCTCCCTTTGCCCCCACAGCCCCCTTTGTCCTCCACTCTCCTGCCCCACAGCTCCCCCTGCCCCCTACAAGCCCCTCTTCAGCCCCCATTCCCCTGCCCCACAGCTCCCTGCATCCCCACAGCCCCCTTTGCCCCCCCTTAGGCCCCCACTCTCCTGCCCCACAGCTCCCCTCATCCCCACAACTCCCCCTGCCCTCTACAAGCCCCTCTTCAGCCCCCATTCCCCTGCCCCACAGCTTCCTGCATCCTCATGGCCCCCTTTGCCCCCACGGTCCCCCCGTACCCCCTCCAGGCCTCCTTTTGCCCCCCACTTCCCTGCCCCACAGCTCCCTGCATTCCCACAGCTCCCTCTCAGTCCCCTTTCCCCACCCCATGGGCCGCTCTTCGCGCCCATTCCCGTGCCCCACAGCTCCCTTCGCCCCCATTCCCGTGCCCCACAGCTCCCTTCGCCCCCATTCCCGTGCCCCACAGCTCCCGTTGTCCCCATTCCCGTGCCCCACAGCTCCCGATGCCCCCATTCCCGTGCCCCACAGCTCCCTTCGCCCCCATTCCCGTGCCCCACAGCTCCCGTTGCCCCCATTCCCGTGCCCCACAGCTCCCGTTGTCCCCATTCCCGTCCCCCACAGCTCCCGTTGCCCCCATTCCCGTCCCCCACAGCTCCCGTTGTCCCCATTCCCGTCCCCCACAGCTCCCGTTGCCCCCATTCCCGTGCCCCACAGCTGCCGATGCCCCCATTCCCGTGCCCCACAGTTCCCGTTGCCCCCATTCCCGTGCCCCACAGCTCCCGTTGCCCCCATTCCCGTGCCCCACAGTTCCCGTTGCCCCTATTCCCGTGCCCCACCGCTCCCGTTGCCCCCCGCCCGCACTCACCGGGCCCCGGGCCCCGCTCGGCTGAGACCTGAGGGGAGTGGGGGGGCCGAAGTCGGGGACCCTCCAGACCGGAACCCCCGTGACGTCACATCCGGCAACAGCAGCCCCCGCCAGCCGCTTGCTGCCGAGGGGGCGGGACTCCAACCGCCTGGCGGCGGCGGGGATTGGCTGAGGGGCACTCGCGGCGGGAAGGTGCTGCCCCGCGGGAGGAGGCGCAGTGCTGCCCCCTGCTGGAGCGGAGGCCAGAGGCGGCGGGGGGTGCTGGGGGGCAATGGGGGCAATAGGGGGCAATGGGGGTGCTGGGGGGCAATGGGGGCAATGAGGGGCAGTGGGAGTGCTGGGGGGCAATGGGAGGCAATGGGGGGCAATGGGGGTGCTGGGGAACTCTGGGGGCGGGGGGCAATGGGGGGCAATGGGGGTGCTGGTGGGCAATGGGGGCCAATGGTGTGCTGGGGGTAATGGGGGCAATGGGGGCAATGGGGGTGCTGGGGGGCAATGGGGGCAATGGGGGCAATGGGGGCAATGGGGGCAGTGGGATGCTGGGGGGCAATGGGGGGTGCTGGAGCTGAGGGGTGCTGGGGGCAATGGGGGCAATGGGGTGCTGGGGGCAATGGGGGGCAATGGGGGGCAATGGGGTCTGGGGGGCAATGGGGGGCAATGGGGGGCAATGGGGGTGCTGGGGGGCAATGGGGGGCAATGGGGGGCAATGGGGGTGCTGGGGGGCAATGGGGGGCAATGGGGGTGCTGGGGAGCTCTGTGGGTGCTTGGTGGCAATGGGGGGCAATTGACAGCAATGGGGGTGCTGGGGGGCAATGGGGGCAATGTGAGTGCTGGGGGGCAATGCGGAGCCGTGGGGCTGGGGGCAGACAATGGGGAGCTCTGGGGGTGCTGAGGGGCAATGGGGGGGGGGGCTCTGAAGGCCCTGGGATGCTGGGTGGTGGAGGGGGGGGCTGGGGCCCTATGGGGCTGGGGGTGTTTATTGGGGTCCCTGGGGGTGTTGGGGTCCCTGTGGTCCCTGGGCTCAGCCAATGGGCTCCTGGTCCCACGTGGAGGTGGGGATGGCGCTGTAGGGGTCGGCCACGAGGCGGGCGCAGCGCAGGGCCAGGGCCGCCAGGCACAGGAGGGTGAGAGCCGCCAAGGCCACGGCCAAGCCTTGGTCCACGTCCATGGCGGCCGTGGGGGGCTCCATGGGCCTCAGCAGGGCCCGGGTGCTGCTGGGAGCATCCCTGGGGGGCAGAGATGGGGATGCTCAAGACCCTGGTGTGGCATTGGTGGGGGGGGGGCACCCGATGCCTTCCCCTCCTTATCCCAGGCACCCGCATCCTCATTCCCTTCCCTTCTTTCCTTGTTTCCCAAGGAAAAGCAGCTCAAAGCATCCCCAAAGGTGGGGTTGGGTTTTCCACACCGGACCCCACGCTGTGCACTGCATTGGATGCAATGAGTTCATCAGGACCCAGCGCACGCAAGGGTGAAGCAGGGCAGCCTCATCGGGAAGCAAACAGGGGTGGAAAAGCAGGGATTCCTCATGGATGAAGAGGTGGAGAATGGGACTTGGAGGCAGGAGCACACCCCCCAGCACCGAAACGCTGCCGGTTCCCAGCCCCATCCCATGGGCTCCTTACCTCCCTATGGATGGATGGATGGATGCTGCGCCCCGCTCCTGCCCTCCCGCTGCCCAGGGCCTCATGAATACTGCAGGGATGCAGCAGCATCGCCTTTCAGGAGCAACCTGAGGGATTGGATTCCCCTCCCGCTATTCCCAGAGGCCCCTTTGCACACAGGGTGAAGGCTCCGAGGTCTGTTTGTGGTAGGGATTGGGAGCATGGAGGTGGATTTAGCCCTGATATCCAGTGGGAACCAGGTCCTTCCCAGCCTGACACAGAGCTTAGGGCCGCTTCTTGGCTCATTCCCAGCTAAAGAGAAGAGATTCAGAGCAGCCCAAGGAGAAGGATTTGGGGGTGCTGGTCCATGAGAAACTGAACATGAGCAGGGTTCAGTGTGCGCTTGCAGCCCAGAAACCAACCGTATCCTGGGCTGCATCAAAAGGATCCTGACCAGCAGGCCATGGAGGTGATCCTGCCCCTTTATTCTGCTCTGGTGAGACCTCCTCTGGAGCATTGTGTGCAGTTCTGGTGTCCTCAACATCAAAAGGACATGGAGCTGTTGGAACAAGTCCAGAGGAGGCCACGAGGATGCTCAGGGGCTGGAGCAGCTCCTGTATGGAGCCAGGCTGAGAAAGTTGGGGCTGTTCAGCCTGGAGAAGAGAAGCTGCGTGGAGACCTCAGAGCAGCTTCCAGTGTCTGAAGGGGGCCTATAGGGATGCTGGGGATGGACTCTTCATTAGGGACTGTAGTGACAGGACAAGGGGTAATGGGTTCAAACTGAAACAGGGGAAGTTTAGATTGGATCTAAGGAGGAAATTCTTTCCTGTGAGGGTGCTGAGGCACTGGAATGGGTGCCCAGGGAGGTTGTGAATGCTCCATCCCTGGCAGTGTTCAAGGCCAGGTTGGACGAGGCCTTGGGTAATATGGTTTAGAGCGAGGTGTCCCTGCCCATGGCAGGGGGTTGGAACTGGATGATCTGAAGGTCCTTTCCAACCCAAACTATTCTATGATTCTATGATTCTAAAGCAGGGAAACTCTTTGGGTTTAGAATGGAGCCGCCCTGGGGGGGTAACTGGGATGCTCTGACCGGGATTGCCCTATCCTGGGGTGTGCCGGGGTCCTCGGTAGCTATCTCGGTCGCCAAGGGGTGACCCCCAATCAGCTCTGATTAATGCTTTATTGCCCCAAAGGCTTGTCCCACTCCTGATCCCAACCCCATTCCCAGTCTGAATCCCCACTCCCAATTCCCAATTTAATCCCCATGCCAGCCTAATCCCTTTAACAGTTTTAACCCTAATTCCAGCCCCAACCCCAGTCCAAATTCCCATTCCTAACCCCAGTTACAACCCAAACCCAGTCTGAATTCCCATTTCCAACCCAAACCCACACAGAATTCCCACTCCCAATCACATTCCCAACCCAATCAGAATTCCCAGTCCCAGTTCCATTCCAAACCCAAACCCAACCAAAATTCCCAGTCCCAATCCACTTGCCAGCCCAAGCCCAATCAGAATTCCCAGTCCCATTCCAAACCCAGTCTGAGTTCCTATTCCCAATCCCATCCCCAACCCCAATCTGAATTCCCAGTCCCAACCCAAACTCAATCAGAATTCACAGTCCCAGTCCCATTCCAATTCCAAACCCAATCAGAATTCCCAGTCCCAATCCAATTCTTAACCCAAAACCAATCAGAATTCCCAGTCCCATTTCAAACCCAGTCTGAAATAGTATTCTCAAACCCATTCCCAACCCCAGTTTAAATTCCCATTCCCAACCCAATCAGAATTCCCAATGAGAATACCCAGTCCCAATCCCATTCCCAACCCAATTAGAATTCCCAATCCCATTCCCAAATCCAATCAGAATTCCCAGTCCCAACCCAATCAGAATTCCCAATGAGAATTCCCAGTCCCAATCCCATTCCCAACCCAATCAAAAGTCACAGTCCCAAATCCAATCAGAATTCCCAATGAGAATTCCCAGTCCCAATCCCATTCCCAACCCAATCAAAAGTCGCAGTCCCAATCCCAAACCCAATCAGAATTCCCAGTCCCAACCCAATCAGAATTCCCAATGAGAATACCCAGTCCCAACCCCATTCCCAACCCAATTAGAATTCCCAATCCCATTCCCAAATCCAACCAGAATTCCCAATCCCAACCCAATCAGAATTCCCAATGAGAATACCCAGTCCCAATCCCATTCCCAACCCAATCAGAATTCCCAGTCGCATTCCCAAATCCAATCAGAATTCCCAGTCCCATTCCAAGCCCATCCCAAATTCCCACCCCCAATAGGATTCCTGCCCTCCGACATAAAAGAACCCCAAACACCCTCGCCCCGCCCCACGCAGCCCTCCGTGCCCACGCCCCCTTTCAGACCACGCCCCCATCCGCCGTGTGGGCGGGGCTTACCCGCGCTCACCCTACCCCACTGGCTGCGCGGTTGGGCGCGCTCGCCCCGTCCCCCCGCCTGAACCAATCAGAGCGCAGCCCTTGGCCCCCGCCCCGCCCCTCCCGGCGCGCAGGTTGGGCTGCGCGGCAGCGCGGAGGGTTTTCCTGTGCCGCCATCTTGGCGGCGGCGGTGAGGAGGGAGGCGGGGGGCGGCCGCAGCGCGCAGCGGCCATGGCAGCCACGGCCGCCAACCCGGGTGAGCCGCGGCGGGGCCGGGCACGGAGCTGCTGAGGGAGGGGGCCGGGAAATGGGGGTGTTATTGGGGCTGGTGCGGGAGGCCCAGGCCGGGTTGGAGGCTATGGAGGAGCCCAGGGGGTTATGTGGAGGGGCTGGGCCCCCTGAGGTGAATACGGGTGCCAATGTGGGTTGGGGGTGCTGAGGGACCCGGGTTTGGAGGCCAGTGTGGTTGTCAGGGCAGATCCTTGCCAAGGAGGTGTCCGGCTGCTTGGGGAAGGGGCTGGCGCTGGTTGTGCCGCGGACGGAGGTGTTCGTGCTCGGCTGAGCTTCGGTTGTGTGCCCAGTGCTGGGGCCTGGTTCCCAGCAGGGCCCTCCCAGCAGGGAGCAGGCTCTGGTGGGGCTCACCCCCATTTCATGCCCTTAAAGCGTTGGGTTCCGACCCTTGTGGTGCTGTTGCAGAGAGGGTTTCTTCGTTAGCAACAGGCAAAAGCTGTTCTGAGGAGGTTTCTGTCCAAGTTTCTGCCTCTTTTTAGAGCTGGGGTGAGTGCCTGGAGCAGAGCAGACTCTGCCTTTAGCATCTCCTCCCTCTGCTTGATAACCAAGGGGTGATCCCTGCTTGGAGGGAGCTTCAAGTCCCTTCTAACAGCATCAAATCTATGGGGTTTCATCACTTTTCTGCCTCAAATGAGCATGTAAGAGGCCAAACGCAGTGCCTGTGGAGCTGGGATGGGTTGACACAGTGGTGACCCAGCTCAGGACTTGAGCTTCTGTTGTTTCTGGGCTTTGCTGTTTCTTTGGCTTGTGGTTTCTGTCTATTCTTGCCTGTGGTTTGAGGCTGGCGAGGTCTTGGCTCGTGGGACACGGTCAGGTTTGGCGAGGGGTGTTCAGGTACCTTCTAAAGGATGGGGTTTCCTACATCCTATAGATACAGGAAGCATTTGGGGCTTTAAATGTTGAGGAAAACGTGTCGGGTCATTTGTCTGTGGGGGGTCTGAGGCACGGGAGCTGGAAGGACAGGGTTGTGCTTACACAGCCTTCCAGTGCCTAAAGGGGCTGCAGGGAACCTGGAGAGGGGCTTGGGACAAGGGATGCAGGGACAGGGCAAGGGGAATGGCCTGAACCTGCCCGAGGGGAGACTGAGCTGAGCTCTTAGGCAGAAGCTCTTCCCTGTGAGGGTGCTGAGGCGCTGGCACAGGGTGCCCAGAGAAGCTGTGGCTGCCCCATCCCTGGCAGTGCTCAAGGCCAGGTTGGACACAGGGGCTTGGAGCATCCTGCTCCAGTGGAAGGGGTCCCTGCCCGTGGCTTTAAATGAGCTTTAAGAACCCTTCTAACACAAACCATTTGATGGTGTAAAACTCTTCAGCAATTGGAAGTGGTGAGGTAGGAAAAACTAAAACTGCTCTGCTCTTGTGAGGCCTCACTTGGAGCACTGTGCACAGCGCTGGGGTCCTCAACGTAAAGAGTACATGGAGCTGTTGGAACAAGTCCAGAGGAGGCCACGAGGATGAGCAGGGGCTGGAGCAGCTCCTGTATGGAGCCAGGCTGAGAAAGTTGGGGCTGTTCAGCCTGGAGAAGAGAAGCTGTGGAGAGCTCAGAGCAGCTTCCAGTATCTGAAGGGGGCCTATAGGGATGCTGGGGAGGGACTCTTCATTAGGGACTGTAGTGACAGGACAAGGGGTAATGGGTTAAAACTGAAACAGGGGAAGTTTAGATTGGATCTAAGGAGGAAATTCTTTCCTGTGAGGGTGCTGAGGCACTGGAATGGGTGCCCAGGGAGGTTGTGAATGCTCCATCCCTGACAGTGTTCAAGGCCAGGTTGGATGAAGCCTTGGGTAATATGGTTTAGAGCGAGGTGTCCCTGCCCATGGCAGGGGGGTTGGAACTGGATGATCTCAAGGTCCTTTCCAACCCGAACTATTCTATGATTCTATGAAAACCAAGCCCCAAATTCCTGGTTCAGCTCAGCAAAAGGAATTCTGAAATGGGAAGGAAGCTGCGATCCCATCCTGTGGCAAAGCACACTGCTGGCTGCCAGCGCTATCCCGTGAAACAGGGAGGTTACTCCAAGCGGTAAAATCCTTCTCGTGTGTGTTGGTGGTGGGCTTGGGATGGGAATGGAAAATGTCTGTTAGGAGCCAGCTGTGGAGGAGCCCCATGGCTGGGAAGGGAAGAGCCTCCTGGCTTTCAGCTGTTAGTGTCTTGCAGGCTGTTTGCGTTTGGAGCTGTGTGATCCTCTGCAGAGGAGGAAGGGCTGAAAGGAGGAAAAGGGAAAGAACGTTTCCACATCTGGGTTTAATACTGGGAGCTCTGGGCAGAGTGACCAGTATTGGCTTGGCCCTTTCCAACAGGGTGGAGAGGGAAATACAGGCATTATAGACACTGAGATTAGGAGTGAAACACATCACTTGTGACAGTCCTGCTCTACAAGGTGGCTCCTCTTCTCCTCGGTGTTGAAAACCTCAGCAGGGGACACTGTGATGCTCCCACATGCACTGGTACCCCCCAGACTGCATCCTCATGGCTGGAACAGGCTGTGCTGAGAGGTGGGACAGGAAGAAGCTGAAGTTTCTTTGTGTCTTCAGGGGTCTTGTAAGTGTTGGAAGTGCAGCTTGTGCTGGGGGTGGTGCCCCCCTGGGGCTCTGCAGGGACCAGGTCACTTCTCCCTTTGCAGAGCGACTGATGGAGAAAGAAAGCTGCAGACCCCTTCTGCTCCCTCGTGTTGAGGTGAGGGGAGCCCCTGTGCAGCTCAGTGCCTGCTGTAACTCCAGGGTGCTGCACTGAGAGCTTCACTTGGGCCACTTTAAGTGAGTTCTGTGTTATTCTGATCTGCTCATGAGGAGGGAGAAGCAAACAGCATTCCCTACATGGAGGGGGGAACAGGAGGAGGGGTTAAAGATCAAAAGGCCTTGGTTTGCTTGCCTTACTTTCCAGGTTTTAATGTTAACGTGGGTTATTGGGACGCTTAGTGCTGGCTGAAGGGCCTTCAACCACTTCCCCCTGTGGAAACTGATTTCTCACCCTTGGAAGTGGAAGCTCCAGGCTTTTCTTGTTGATTTCTATAATGCTGCTTGGAGAAGGCTCCTGTGGGGCTGGAAGTGCTGAGCTGGCCCAGCCTAAAACCTCCCCTACTCGCAGAGTAAGTCTCTTGAATGTACCTAGGACACATTGTAAGTCAAAGCCCTGCACCCTTCACACAAAGCCTTGGCCTGCTGTTCCCTACCCCATACCTGTTCTAAACTCCTTTGGCTTCATGGGGAGCTCACTAATGGTTAAGTTTAAGCTCAGCCTTGTGCTTGGCTGCTCCTGAGCCTCACAACAACCATCTGCTCCCAGTCCCTGCGGCTGGAGCCACCAGTGGGACAATAAAAAGTGGGAGCAGGGAAGAGCTCCCAGGCCCAGCTCGTAAATCACAGCCTGGAAGATTCCCTGTGCCTTTACTTGTGCAGCTTTGTCACTGTTGAGATGCCAGGAGTTGCAACAGAGCCTTTCCCAGGGGAGCAGGGCTGGAAGTCTGCCTCTCCAAATGGCATTCCCGGAGTGAGCTCCCGGCCTGTTCTATTCTGGGGGAAGCTCTTGGCTGAATTGTGGTTGTGCTTCATGGGTTTCTAGTCAAGTTACAAAGGAGGAGCTGGAATTGCTCTGGGCTGCCTCTGCTTATCTCTTCTGGCCTCAATTACATTTACCATATGTTAGAGGCAGGCAGGGATTGAGTCGGGAAAGGGCTGGAACAGAGAGCAGGATCCTGCCTGTTGCAGCAGCAGGGACTCCATGAACCCGCCCTCCCGTCTGAGAAGGATCATCTGGGACCTTATGGAGCTTGAGACCCCCTCAGCACCAGCTGCTTGGTGGGTGCAGAGCACTGGTGTTGGGGTGAGGAGGTGGTAGAGAGGCTGTTGGCTCGTGTGGAAGCCCCACAACCATCTGGATGCTCTCCCCCAGTGTGCAGAGCAGAGCACTGCCAGTTTACAAGGCCAGATCTTGAGGCGTTTGATGTTCTTCCACTCGGGAAAGGGCACGTTGTGCCACCAGAGGGAAGTGCTTCCGAGTAGGAAGCTGAGGGAGGAGGTAAAGCAGCTTTAGTGGGAGGTGCCAGGCCATGCACAGGGCTCCTTGGGAATATCAAAGGCTCAGATGAGGCCTTTACAAACAGAGACCCTGCCATTCCCCCTGAACCCTACTGAGAAGCTGCTCTGCAGAGGAACAGCTCCATGTCACTTCCTTCCCTATCCCGAAAGAGGAAATTCCTCTCTCCTTAATAAAAGGATCATCTGTCCTGCTCCAGAGACCTCAGTTGTTTGAATACCTCTTGGAAGGCCCTGGCAAAGGCACTGAAGCCCCATGTCCTGCTGAACAAAGCCCTTTGCTATCAGCCCTTTCCACACTTTGGGAAGGGCACAGAGGTGCCATTCCAGTGTCCCACCGCCCTCACAGGGAAGAGCTTCTGCCTCAGAGCTCATCTCAGCCTCCCCTCTGGCAGGTTAAAGCCATTCCCCTTGGCCTCCCCCAGCTTTCCAAGGTTTTCCTGGTGCCTTCCAGCATCTTGGTTGATTCTTTGTCTCTCAGGTTGGGAAAAGAGCCCCTTGGAGAGGCAGCATTGATGTGCTTAGGCCAACTCACAGCTCTTCCCCTCCCCTTATGGAAGGCTCAGGCTGCTGGCCCATGGCTTCAGCCCCTCCCATGACCACACCAGCTCCTCCTCTGTGCAGGAAGGAGACCACAGCTTTTGGGTTGGAGCTGATGGAAACAGTGTGTGCTCAGAGCCTGCCCCAGCCCCTCGGAGCAGCTCGGCGACAGGGAGATGAAAGCCTTGGAAACCCTCCTCGCCCAGAATCGAGGGCTCTATGTGCATGTGTTAATGGAGCTCTATGTGCAGAACACTCGGGGGCGGGGGTTGATGTCATCCTCAGTTTCTTGATGGCTTTTCCCACTCTCCTCTTTAGAAATGGCATCAGATGTTTCCTCGCTGGGTGCAGGCGTCAGCGCCGGGACCGCTGCAGGGGCCCAGGCTGGAGGAGCCATTGTGCAGAGAGCACCCAAGAGGCGGCCTGGGTGAGCGTGGCCTGGGGCTGGGGGGAGGTTTGGGGGTGTGTGTGTGTGTATTTCTGAGGGAACATTGCTCTCTTCATGGGGAAATTCAGCTACTCCTAAGCACAGAAGTTTCCTGGTTCCTGCAGGTGAGTCCCATCCGGTCCCTTCACATCATAGCGATGCCCATAAAAAGAGGGGGTTAAAGAGCTGAGTTGCATGAGGAGAAGAGGGTTCTCCACCAAACACTGAGAGTGGAGCAGGAGTCACTGAAGCAGTGAGACCAGTTGCTGCAGGAGAGGTAGAGGAACAGAGAATGGGAATGGTGGAGCCTCACTCTCAGGGAGAGGAGGATGGGGGAAGCTGCCATGTGCTTGTAGGCAAATGCCTTTGCAAATGGAAGGGATCTCGAGTGGCTGCTCTGAAATTCCTGCCACAAGAAAGTTCCTCTTTCATTTTAAGGCTACTCCAAAGCTCTCCCTGCTCCCCCCCAGTCACTGTCCTTCACCCCCTGATGCTCCCATTGCTTGTTCCCCACAGTGCTGCCTCCACACGGGGCTTTTCCATCCTCTTCCTCTCTCCTCCCACAACCACTTGTCAGGAATGGGAGGGGGTGCCCCTGTCACAGCAAACACTGTGACGTGTCTGCACTCACCAGGTCACCAGCCTGAACTTTAAACTCTTCAAGGGTTTTGTCCTCCTCTGGTGTTTTGGTTTCTAATGCAGCTGATCCAGTTTGGGAATGCTCCATCTGATGGCTCCCTCCAGCAGCAAGGATTGGTTGTAACAGCTTCAGATCACTGCTGAGAGATTCAGAGCTTTCAGAGCAGGAGGTGATGCAGTGGGTGCTTCAAGTGGGCTTTTCTCTCAGTTCACCCATTCCCTTGCTCTGTTTCTGATGGACAAAGGAAGCTCCCTTCTGACCTCTGTGGATTGCTCTGAGTCAGCCCCTGGGTTTACTTTAATCTTCCTTTCCAGAACCAGCTGCATCCCTGTAGGGACAGAGAGGGAAACAACCTGTAAAGGAGGAACTGCTTGGTTAAGAGTGATCCTTCTGCTTCTGTTTTTCAGGCTGGATTTTGATGATGATGGAGAAGGGAACAGTAAATTCCTCAGGTGAGGAGAACATTTCTGCTGTGTGTGTACCTCCCCCTCTGGAGCAGGAGCTCCATGTCCACGTGCCTTTTTGTCCCAGCAGCACACAGGGAGTCAGGGGAGGCTGAAGGAGGTTCCACTTCCTTAAACTCTTCCCTTTCTCCATCCTTGCAGCTGATGCCAAAGCAGAGCTGCTGTGCACATGGGGCTGAGTGCAGGGAGAGGATTCCAGCACTCCTTTGGGATGTAGTCTCCATCTGGAGCCTCCCTGGTAGCTCCCACAACAAGAGGAGGTTGGCTGAAGGACCAGGCCCTGGGTTGAGGTGGTGGTGTAGAGCTCCAGGATGATGTTGCTGTGTTCAGCAGCAGCTCAGAAGATTAAATCCTTTCCAGTGCTTCCTCCTGGCAATGCACTGGTTGTCCCAGCACTGCACTGTGGAGCACTGCTGCTGCCCAGTGATGGGAGAGCCAGAAATCTCCTGCCCAGCAGCTTACTGGGACACCAGGGAGCTGCTGAGCTCTTATTGGTGCCTCAGACCCGTGTTGGTTCATTCTGATGTGGTGGAAGGATGCTTCAGTTCCAGAGCCAGCCTCGCAGGGCAACAAGTGGCTCCTCTCATGGTCCATATGGAGCACAGAAGAGTTGGAAGATCTCATGTTGTGTACTTATAATCTCACTATGTGCTTTAGGACAACTCCAGTGATAATGGGAGCCCATCCATATGTCACAGTCTCTTAAAGGTGACTGCAGGGTTTCTTTGAGGTGACACTAGTCCTGTAGGATCTAGCTACCAAGACTCTGGGCTTGGCTTGGGCTAGAGTGTAATTGAACCCATTTCTTTGTGTGAGCCTATTCCTGAGTGTGGTGCCAGTGTCCCTGATGGGAATGTGATGTGGAGAACTTCATCAAGGGAATAAAACAATCTAACTGTGGTCTTTTAACTAGATAAATGAAGGGTTCTGGGCTGCCCACACACAGTGGTTTCCTTTTTGGGTACCAGCCCTTCTTGAGGTGATATATTAACCCTTGTTCTTCTCTCAGTGGCTTTGGAAGTGTCACCAGTGTAAGAACTCTTCTTCCTCTCCCCCTTTCAGATGCGATGATGACCCGATGCCAAACGATAAAGAGAGATTTGCCAGGTAAGAGCCTGCTGGGATGCAGTCATGAAGCACCTCAATGTGAGAGAGATCCTGCAGCACCCTTCTCATCAGCAGTTAGGTTTCCTCTCTTGGAAGGAAGGTGCTCCAAAGGGGTCAGATCCTTTCCTTGACGGTTTGGGGGCTGGCTCATTGAGTGGGATGAAATGACATTCCTCTTTTCCAACATTTCTTTCAGCTCTTGCCTTGGACTCTCCTTTTCTCCTGCTCAAGACCTTGCTGAGATTCAGTTTCATGCTCTTTACTTGAACAGGGTTTCCTGGCACATGCTATGGGTTGTGTTTGGGGGAGTTTCCCAAGCTCAGAGGGTGCAGTAACATCACAGGCAGTGTTTCAGCTCTCAGTATCTACTTGTTGGTGTTTGAAAGCCCCCCCCTCAGTGCTGGCACTGCCCTCACGGTGGTTTTGCAGCTTTCTGGAGCCTCTGGAACTCAAATCTAACCATTTCACAGCTTTATTTTGTGTTGGTGTGGAAGATGCGAGGTTCTTGGTGTGTATCTGGGCTCTGTAAATGCCAGAATGTCCCCTCAGTGTGAAGCCACCTTGTGCCATGTCTTACAAGAGATAGAAGTGAACAAATGCAGAGTGATACAGGCCAAGACACTGCTTAAGGAGAGCAGAGGAGGTCTCCGTGCAGAGAGGCCAGAAAAGGGCAGCACTGAGGATTCCAGGTTGCTGTTACCTGTCAAAGGGCTGGCAGGGACTTAGCTGGGAACCGGAGGGACAGCAGCCCCTGTGCCCTGCAATGCTCCTGCTTAACCCACATGGGTGAGGAAGGGGTGAGCAAAGGAACAAACCAACCCAGTTCTGGGCTGCTGAGGCCTGGAATACCAGTGTCAGCAGTGCCTGTGTGCTGGAATGTGGGCGTTATCCTGGCACTTACTGCCTTGGGCAACAAGGATGGTGGCAGGAGGTGGGAGCAGCCAGTGGTGTGAGTGTGACACCCCGAGAGCAGCCACAGGCTCCCCTCTGCCCCTGGGCTGCCCATGGCTCTCCATCCTGCTCCTCACACATCAGGCAGACTCCCTTTTCCACTGCATCCTTCCCATCCTCCTTTTCCACTGCATCCTTCCCATCCTCCTTTTCCAGTGCATCCTTCCCATCCTCCTTTTCCACTGCATCCTTCCCTGCCTCCTTTTCCACTGCATCCTTCCCATCCTCCTTTTCCAGTGCATCCTTCCCATCCTCCTTTTCCAGTGCATCCTTCCCAGCCTCCTTTTCCAGTGCATCCTTCCCAGCCTCCTTTTCCAGTGCATCCTTCCCAGCCTCCTTTTCCAGTGCATCCTTCCCATCCTCCTTTTCCACTGCATCCTTCCCATCCTCCTTTTCCACTGCATCCTTCCCATCCTCCTTTTCCAGTGCATCCTTCCCATCCTCCTTTTCCACTGCATCCTTCCCAGCCTCCTTTTCCACTGCATCCTTCCCAGCCTCCTTTTCCAGTGCATCCTTCCCATCCTCCTTTTCCAGTGCCTCCTTCCCATCCTCCTTTTCCAGTGCATCCTTCCCATCCTCCTTTTCCACTGCATCCTTCCCTGCCTCCTTTTCCAGTGCATCCTTCCCATCCTCCTTTTCCAGTGCATCCTTCCCATCCTCCTTTTCCACTGCATCCTTCCCTGCCTCCTTTTCCACTGCATCCTTCCCATCCTCCTTTTCCACTGCATCCTTCCCATCCTCCTTTTCCAGTGCATCCTTCCCATCCTCCTTTTCCACTGCATCCTTCCCATCCTCCTTTTCCACTGCATCCTTCCCTGCCTCCTTTTCCACTGCATCCTTCCCATCCTCCTTTTCCACTGCATCCTTCCCATCCTCCTTTTCCACTGCATCCTTCCCTCTCCCCAGTGCATCCTTCCCAGCCTCCTTTTCCAGTGCATCCTTCCCATCCTCCTTTTCCACTGCATCCTTCCCATCCTCCTTTTCCACTGCATCCTTCCCATCCTCCTTTTCCACTGCATCCTTCCCATCCTCCTTTTCCACTGCATCCTTCCCAGCCTCCTTTTCCAGTGCATCCTTCCCAGCCTCCTTTTCCAGTGCATCCTTCCCATCCTCCTTTTCCACTGCCTCCTTCCCCGCCTCCTTTTCCACTGCATCCTTCCCCGCCTCCTTTTCCACTGCATCCTTCCCTGCCTCCTTTTCCAGTGCTCTCTTCCCAGCCCCCTTTTCCAGTGCTCTCTTCCCAGCCTCCTTTTCCAGTGCTCTCTTCCCAGCCTCCTTTTTCACTTCCTCCTTTTCCTTCCCTCCTCAAATGGTTTGAGTCCAAACGGAGAAGTGAATACGACTCCTTTGTTATGGCACTAGATTCCATTGGAAATGGAAGGGGAACACAACCACCTCCTGTACTCCATGAACCCACTGAGGATTTAGATGCTCGGCCTCTGCCTTACTGCGCACATGTGGTACCTTCTCCTTTCCTGGGGTAGCTTTTATTGGATAGCTTTCCAACCCTCAAGGAGGAAAGCTCCCCCTCAGCCTCTGCAAACCAAGGTCTGCACATTCCTCTTCCCTGCAAGCTGGGAGTGCAGCTGGTGGCAATGGGTTTGTGCCTCTGGAGATGTTCCCAACCTCTGTGTGCTCCTGTGGGCTCCTTGCACCTCTTTCTGCAGCAGCATTGCAGGAGTGTGTGGTGGTGGCTGTGAACATGCCCCTCTTTGGGGGTTTGGGGTTGGGTTTCTTTGTTCCTCCTATCAAAGCAGCTATGGGGTTCTCTTCTGGTTACCTGAAAGGAGCAGTTTGTGGCTGGGGCCCTCCTCCCCAGCTCTGCATTTAACCTTCTAATCCTACACAGAACGAGTGGCACCTCAGTGCAACCCAGAGCTGCCCTTTGCCTGTCTGATAGCCTTGGTAAGCTGAAGGACTCCAACCCTCCAGAGATGGCAGTGTCCTGTGCAGTGCTGCAAACTACTGAGTGCTTGGGTTTCTGGAGCTGCTCCTCTGCCAAGCAGCCATGGCCAGAGGCTGGTTTCCTCCTGCATCTTCCCATTTTCCAGTTCTTTTTCCATTTTAGCTTAGCTCACTGATTTTATTTTTAGGTCTGATGATGAGCAGAGCTCAGCGGATAAGGAGAGACTTGCCAGGTAGGAGAATGGAGATTTCCAGCATGGACAAGCAGAGTATTTCCTTTCCTCAATGTTTTCCTAGGCATCCCTTCTCTCTTGTTGTTTCCCCCTTCCCTTCCTTCCCTCCTCTTCTGCAGTAGAGGACTTAAAGCTGAACAGGCTCCTGGAAGTGGCTGTGTGATTGGAATGAGGAGGGGAAAGGCATTTATCCCCCTTGTGGGAATGTCTCTGGGGAATACACAGAGGGATTTGTTTGCCAAGGACCTCAGGGCAGAGTGGTTTGGCCATGGCTTTCACTGAGTGCTGTAGCTTTGCTAACCTGTGCTAAACCCAGTTCCTCCTGTGCTGGCTCTGGGTGCCAAAGGGCCTCTTCTCACCTGGGTAAGGTTTGTTGCAGGAATGCTGCTGTTCCAACAAAACAGACATGGAAAAGCACCAATTCAGTTTGTTCCACCCCAGAAAACCTTCCAGGTGAGGTGCTGGCCTGTGTGGGACAGCTTCAGGCTTCCTGAAAACAGGATTTCCTCCAAGTTCCTCTTTGTAACTCAGGAGGGACTGTAGCTGGAGTGACCAAAGCAGTCACCTTGGTCCCATTACCATACGTGGGCCTGGTTGGGATGGGTGTTGGGGAGCTGCATCCCTCCAGCAGCAAAACACCCGCTCCAAATACACCCAAACCTAAAGCTGTTTGGGTCAGCACTAAGGGTTCTGCTGCTGTTTGCTGCAGAGCTGAGGGTGGAGATCTCTGAAGGGATAACTCCTTTTGTGCCTCCCCACCTTCTCTGTGGCTTCTTAGAGCTGTTTCAGCCCTGCAGGACTAAAGAGACTCTTAGGTGCTGAGAAAGCCCCCATTCTGCTCCATTTCTTGCTTGTGGCTGGTTTTAAACCAAACCAGAACCCCTCCAGCTGCAGGATGGCATAGCTTAAATGCTTGAGGGAATGAGGAAACCCAAGGTGGGACCTATGGGCACAGCAAGCAGCAGCGCTTTGGGGTTTCTCCTTCCCCACGAGCTGCTTGTCACTGGCCTGTAGTAAAGATGTTTGGCAATGGAGCAAGTCAAAGATCTGGGGTTTCGCAGTAGTTTTTGTAGTGAAGGTGGTGGCTTCGTTTCCTGCTTGGAGAAGCTGCACTAAAGGTGAGTGTGGTCATTGAAGCACTTCTTTTTCCTGAGTAGCAGTTTCCTACAGCGAGGAGCAGGTCACTGAATGCTGGCACCCACCTGGTAGTAGCTGCTCACTTTGTGGTTATCCTCTTGAATTCACTTGCTTGGCTGTGTTCCTTCCAACACTTCCACCTCATTTCAGTTCCCAACATGTGCTTCCTTGCATCTCATGCATCCTTCTGCATAGGAAACCTGGCTTTGGAGTTCTCTTTGGAAACCCCCCCCCCTTAGTGACACAGTTAAACCACATCCACTGGGGAGAAATGAACCAAGACTAACCAAATCTCATCTCTGAGGGTTGATGGGGACTGTGCCCTGTGAGCAGAGACATGTGAAGAACCTTCTTAAGGGCTGGGTATTGGTCGTGGGGCCTCTTTGGAGGGCTGGGTAGGTGGTCTGCCCACACTGGCCTGGGTCTGTGTAGCAGTGAGGTGTGTACCTGCTCTAAAGCTGTCCCTCCTGGCCATGAGTGGAGAAGACTTGATGTGACTGAGAAGTAGCTTCATAAAATCACTGCAAAGGGGGACTCCTCTGCTGTACCTTAGGTGCCCACGTCGTAGGTGCAGCCCTGGCCTCCTAGTACAGATATTGGAGACAAGGGTGCCTGAAGGGTGCTGGTGGAGGGGATTGGCTTCAGCATCCCTGGCCAAGCAGTGGGTGGGCTGAGTCTCCCAGTGCTGTTCAGAGCAGGAGTGAGGTGAAGCCACTTGGTGAGCAGAGGCTCGAAGGAGCCCTTCGCTTACCACAGCGTGATGGAGTCCATGGGGAAGCTGCTGCTTGGCTGCCCCAGCTCAGCCTCGCTCGAGGCCTTCACCAGGGAGTGAGGTGGTTCCAGTGAGGCCCTTGCCTGCAGCACAGCCCCAGGGTAGAGACTTCTCCTTGCCCTCGTTCCTCTGTGCACGCCCAGCATGCGAGGCGCTTGCGGCCCCTCTAACTCCTGACGCATCTCTTGTGCTCTTGCCGTGGGGGCATGGCTGAGGCCTGGGGCCTCTTGGTGATTCCTCTTCCTTCTCCCTGGCTTCTTGCAGGGAGAACCACAGCGAGATCGAGCGCAGGAGGAGGAACAAGATGACCGCTTACATCACGGAGCTCTCGGACATGGTGCCCACGTGCAGCGCCCTGGCGCGCAAGCCGGACAAGCTGACCATCCTGCGCATGGCTGTGTCCCACATGAAGTCCCTGCGGGGCACGGGCAACACCTCCACGGATGGCACCTACAAACCCTCCTTTCTCACTGACCAGGTCTTGGCTTGATGCTGCTTTTGGGGGGAATTGGAGAATGCGTTGGGTTGGAAAGGGCCTTGAGGTCATCCAGTCCCAACCCCTGCCATGGGCAGGGACACCTTCAAGTAGAGCAGGTTGTGTCAAGTCCTATCCAACCTGGCCCTGAACACTGCCAGGGATGGGGCATTTACCACTTAGGCAACTGTGCCAGTGCCTTGCCATCCTCACAGGGAAGAACTTCTTCCTTATATCCAGCCTGAACCTCCCCTGTTCCCATTTCAACCCATCACCCCTTGTCCTGTCACTGCAGTTCCTGATGAAGGCCCCTCTCCAGCATCCTTGCAACCCCCTTCAGACACTGGAAGCTGCTGTGAGCTCTCCACAGCTTCTCTTCTCCAGGCTGAGCAGCCCCAATGTTCTCAGCCTGGCTCCTATGGGAGCTGCTCCAGCCCCTGCTCTCTGGACTTGCTCCAGCAGCTCCATGTCCCTTTTACGTTGAGGACCCCAGAACTGCACCCAGTGCTGCAAGTAGAGGGGCAGCATCCCCTGCAGTGAGGGGGGAACCAGACTGTGGGTGGGGGGCAGAGAGGCACCCAGGGTGGGGTTAGAGGGTGTCAGTGCTTGGAGTGAAGCACGTGCCTCTGTCTGTGAATGCAGGAGCTCAAACACCTCATCCTCGAGGCTGCCGATGGCTTCCTCTTCATCGTGTCCTGTGAGACAGGGAGGGTGGTTTACGTCTCCGACTCCGTGACTCCCGTCCTGAACCAGCCCCAGTCGGAGTGGTTTGGCAGCACCCTCTATGACCAAGTGCATCCGGATGACGTGGGCAAGCTGAGGGAGCAGCTCTCCACGTCAGAGAACGCCCTGACAGGTAGCGCAGCCTGGGCTGGGATTGCCAGGGGTGGGTGTGTGGAAGCCTGCGGAGGGCTTGGATTAAAACCTTCCCTTTGTAGAAGGAACCAAACCCTGGTGCCTTTCTAACAAGGATCCTGCAGCCCCCCCTGAGAGTGCATCTAAAGGTACCACTGGTGACACTTGTGTCTTGCTAGTCCCCAATGCGTTGCCTGGTGCCTGCGCTCCTGAAGGCCTCGTGCTGCAGCAGCATTTTGCTTTCTCTTCTGTCCTCAGGTCGCATCCTGGATTTGAAGACGGGCACTGTCAAGAAGGAAGGGCAGCAATCCATGAGGATGTGCATGGGCTCACGAAGATCCTTCATCTGCAGAATGAGGTGAGGAAGAGATGCCCTGATCTCATCGGAGCCTGAAGCTGAGCTTGCTCCCTGGCCCCTTCGTGCTCTTATTTCAGCTCATTCTGACACAGACATGGTATTACATGGCTGAGCTCTCCACACAGTGCTAACACACAGGCTCTTGAGCTGTCTCTTTGCCATAAGACAGCTCTCAAGACTTGTGGCAGAAGATCCAAGTAACAGTTTGGTGTGACCCCACATGTCCCTTGAAGTCTGTAGTGTGAGGTTGTGGAGAGGCAAAGGTTCATCCCCATTTATAGATAGGCTTATACCTCTCTTACTGAGGATTGTCAGGTAGTTTTGATGTTGGCCAAGGAAGATAAAAGCCTTTCCCATTGGATTTCTCCTGGCACAGGTGTGGCAACAGCTCCGTGGATCCAGTCTCTGTGAATCGTCTCAGCTTCATGAGGAATCGCTGCAGGTAAATGGTACAAGAGGTAGAGGCAAACCCTCTGCCATCAGAGTGCTGGGGCCACAGAAGAGCTTAGATCTGCTGGGAGAGGAGCCCAAGTGCCAGATAATCCTGGGGAAGGTTACCATGGAATTCTGGGATGGTTTGTGTTGGAAGGGACCTTGAAGCTCATGTAAAGCCATGGGCAGGGACACCTCACGTTAGACCAGGTTGCTCCAAGCTCCATCCATGCTGGCCTTGAACACTTCCAAGTGTTCTTATCCCAAGCTGTGCAATCAGTTGAACACAGGTGTCCTTTACACTGGTGCTGTTGGGCTCTTTTTAACTTGAAACTGAGACAGATTCCAGCCTGTTCTGTCCTTGAACCCCTTGCATTTCCATGAAGTCTTTGTCCTTTTTTCACTCTGAGGATGTTCTCTTTTAACTCCAAGTAGAAACCTTGCCTCTCGTTCCCCCAGTTTAAGACAGAGCATAACCAAACTCTTTCTCTCTCCAAGGAATGGCTTAGGGGCAGCAAAGGATGGAGAGCCTCACTACGTCGTGGTGCACTGCACGGGTTACATCAAGGCCTGGCCCCCTGCAGGTAACAACTTCCCTCACTTGGGGCTGGTTTGAAGTCTAAAGTTGTCCATTCTGGGGCATGGAGGTGCCAGCAAATGCCTTGCACATGTATCTACCACTTGTTAGGTACCACATTTGGTTTCAGTTTGACTGATGGTTGCAGATGTTGGGTCAGAGATCGGTGTCTGTGGACAGGGAGATACTGATGAGGGTGGCAATAACATCACCCCTCTGACCTGCTGGCTTGTGCTGACAGAGATCTTCAAGCCTTCTGGTGATAAAAGCAGGAGACAACTTAACTTCCCAAATTCCTCCATGGGAAAGGCTGTTGAGTTACAGAACAGGGTGGGAGATGCACCGAGGGCAGAGCTGAGTGCCTGTTTCCTCTGAAATGAGCAGTTTCTCCTGTATTAACCCTGCTGGGTGCTTTTGCCTCTCCCCTCTTAGGTGTTTCACTGCCTGATGATGACCCAGATGCTGGCCAGGGCAGCAAGTTTTGCCTTGTGGCTATTGGCAGGCTCCAGGTGAGTGGCATATTCCAACACCTCGACATTGCCTTATCCTCAGGGTGCCCAGAGTTCAACTGATGTGCGTGAAGATGCTTCCTGACGGCCCCAGATCCGCCTGCAGGGTCAGGAGGAAGCAGCTCCCCCGGGTTCACTGACACCACCCTGGTCTCCCCTCGCAGGTCACAAGCTCCCCCAACTGCACAGACATGAACAACGTTTGTCAGCCCACAGAGTTCATCTCCCGGCACAACACCGAGGGCATTTTCACCTTCATAGATCACAGATGTGTGGCTACGGTTGGTTACCAGCCACAGGTGAGATGAGCCAGCAGCCTCCTCAGCATTAACTGCTGCTCAGGCTGACTTCTCCTTCCTGCCTGTCTTGCACAGCCTGGCTAACACATGCCCAGGGCCCAAACCAGACGTGCTCCTTCTCCAGCAGTTGTGGTTTCATGTGCTTCTCTAAGTGCTTTGATCCTTGGGAGGATGGGGGGCTCTGGCTTATGTCAAACCTCAATTAGGAGCAGCTTGGCCTCCAGTTGAGTTCAAGATCTAACATCAGGCAACCGTTGTTGTGCTTCTCTTTAAAACACAACATGCTCATTGCTGGCCTTGCTGTGTGCACCAGTGTCCTGGGTTGAGCATAACCAGTGATTTGGGGATGAGGGAGCAGTACCTACCTGTCCAGAGGGGAACTGCTGGGGCAGAGCTGCCAGAGGGATCTGCTGCAGCTCAGCTGCCTTTGTCTCTTCCCAATTAGGAACTTCTGGGAAAGGACATTGTGGATTTCTGCCACCCAGAAGACCAACAGCTTTTACGGGACAGCTTCCAGCAGGTACAGCTCTTCAGCTCCCCCTTTGCATGCAGTGTGGTGCCCAGGCTTGGTGCTTGCGAAGCAGTGACATGAATTGGAAAAGCAAGAGAAAAACTCAACTGTAGAGCTTGCAGTTACAGTCACGTAACTGCACATGTGCAAAGCACACCAGAAGCATCTGATGTCTAACTGTTGCGTTCATCCTCTGGCTGCTAGTCCAGTCTGCTTTTAGGGCCAGAGCCGTGGCTACAAAGGGCTTCTGGGAACCACTGGCTCATCTCTAGGGCCCAGCCCAGTGCTGCACAACTCGAGGTGGAGCTGATTTCCTTGCCCTGTTGTCGTTACTCTTATTTCTGAGGGCCTTGGACTTGTGGCAGGGCAGGTAAGGCTGCCCCTGTGCTTTCATGACTCCAGAAAGTAGCTGCTCATATCCATTTGTCCAAATAGAATCAGAAGCAAGAGCATGTGCTTCATTTGCTGGAGGCTTTCTCATACATCTCACCAGTGCAAAGAGATAAAGGGAAAGGCAAAAAGGGGACGTTGGATTCTCCTCCCATATCATTCAGGAAGAGTCGGAAGTACCATTTATCTGAGGAAGAGCAAGAGATGGTCCTGAGGCTTCGAGGCAGAGGGTGTCAGGGGGGTGGCTCAGCAGCAGGTTGCTCTTCAACCCCTTCTTTTATCAGGTCCTACTGATGGCATTACGTTTTTTTAGGTGGTGAAGTTAAAAGGCCAGGTTCTGTCAGTCATGTTCCGATTCCGATCCAAAAACCGGGAATGGCTCTGGATGAGAACCAGCTCCTTTACCTTCCAGAACCCCTACTCGGATGAAATTGAGTACATCATCTGTACCAACACCAACGTCAAGTATGTACATGGAAATGACTTGCCGAGCACCAGTGATAGCACCCAACCTGAGGGGACCTTGGCCCAGGGTGACCAGCAGCACAGGACATCAGGAGCTTTGGCCTCTCCCCTCACCCTGGGGAGTTCCTGGAGGAATTGCTCTCTTCCTGGGCTGTGGCAGGCTCTAGAGGCCTAGAAACACCCCTCCTTTGGCTGTGTTGGTTGTAGGGCTTAGCAAGCTGCCCAAGTTCAGCTCCAGCAGTGCCTTCTTTAGCTCTGCTTCCTGGAGCAGGTCTCCTGTGTGTGTGATGGCATCCAGAGCTCATAGGAGTGAAGTCTGCCTCTGGATGTAGCTCCTGGGACAGTCCTGCTCCATGGAATGGCTTTTCCCATGAGCAGGGCTGATGCAGCTCATGGTAGGAAGCGAACACTGTTTCCTTCCCTGCTGTAGGCTCACAACAGAGCTGCAGTGGGGAGGCTGCTTTCATTGCTGCTCTCTTCTCCCTCTTGGCTGCTCGGGTGGGTTTGAGACAAGGGGTGCATCTCCTTTGGAAGTGTCAGGGCCAAGCAGGTTCCAGGCCCCTCACAGAAGAGCAGCAACTGAAACAAGGCAAAAAAAGAAGGAAAGCCAAGTGCCTGCAGATGCCTGAGAGGTGTAGATGGGGTCTGGCTAGCCAGGCAAACCAGGCTACGCTGCCTGTGGGCAAGGCAGGGTCCTAGAGGGCAGGGAGCGTTTCTGCCCTTCCTGCAGCTGGGAAGCTGCTGCTTTCCCATGGGAAAGGATGAAGAGTTGAGCAGTGACAAATCCCTTTGGCTTTACAGAGCCTGAGTCCAAGTGCAGGGCTGAAACCTGATGTGGGTCTGCCACAGGCCTTCATCCCAGTCCCGGGCTTAGAGAGATCTCTTTGACCTCATCCATTCCACACACATCCATTCCCACATCCATGCTACGCCTTGGAAAGCACTGTGTAAGCTCAGAGCAGCAGCAGCCTGTGCCTTTGGGGTGCAGTTTGTCTTTGCTGGGTTGTCGGTGTTGTCTCATCTTCAAGCTCAGGTGCTCCTGAAGCAGCAGCAGCAAAAGAGCTGTTGGGAAAACACTGGATCTCTGTTCCTTTCTTGGGGGAGTTCAGCATTTACTGACTTGTGACAGGGACAGCAGAGCACAAAGAACTCCACCAATGTCTTGGGCTTGAAACCTAAAGCTGCTGGTGGTCTCTGGAGTGGCTGACATAGAGCTGAATGCAAAACCTCAGGGGGGTTGAGGTTCCTACAACCGTTGCTTGTGCTTTAAGGAGGATGCAGCTCTGGCCATGCTCCTGGTGTAGGCTGTTAACTGCTCCCTGCTCAGTGGGAGGGTGCAGAGCCCAACCAGGAGCATTGCATTCCATGAACCCCCCTTGCAGAGACCGTGGAGCCTGGGTGGAAGGATCCTGGGCTCCAACAGGCTTTGCAAGAGCAAAGCTTCCCGTTGCATCCGCGCCGGGTGCGTTCTGCACGCAGCAGCCAAGCGTTTGCTTTCCTTTGGTGTGTTTTACAGTCTCTTTGTTCTTTTGTCCTTCTCTCTTTGCTTTGAAGGAACTCGAGCCAGGAGTCTCGGCCTGCCCTATCCAGCTCCCTGCAGAGGCCCCAGCTGGGCCAGGCTGTCAGCCTTCCCTTGGAGATGGGCACAGCGCAGCTGCCCGCAAGGTCAGGAGGTGCTCAGCTCCTTTTCCCATGCCTCTCATGCTGGTTCTGCCCTCCTCTCCGATAGCCTGCCTCCCCACACTGTCCTCTCTGCAGCACTCACCTCCTCTGCCTGGTGAATCAGTGCTGTGGCCACAGAGGAGCTGTTCCCTTGGCACTCGCTTTGAGCAGCCGGTGCTCTCCTGTTACAGACACTTTCTATTTCAGGCAGCAGCAGCCCCCCCAGCAGCCAGAGCTGGAAGTGGTCCCAGGAAGAGAAAGCCTGGCTGGGTACGACCACTCACAGGTAGATCACCACCAGCTTTGCTTTGCTTTGCTCCTCCTTAGCTAAATACCCTTCCACTGGGGTGGCCACACCAGGGTGACTTGAGGCTGCGGAGGGTTTGGAGAGGGAAGGGCTCTGCCTTGGATCTACTTGCTGGGTTCTGATCTCATAGCAGCCTTCCAGTCCTCATAGCAGCCTTCCAGTATCTGAAGGGGCCTATAGGGATGCTGGGGAGGGACTCTTCATTAGGGACTGTAGTGGTATGACAAGGGGTAATGGGTTAAAACTTAAACAGGGGAAGTTTAGATTGGATATAAGGAGGAAATTCTTTCTTGTTAGGGTGCTGAGGCACTGGAATGGGTGCCCAGGGAGGTTGTGAGTGCTCCATCCCTGGCAGTGTTCAAGGCCAGGTTGGACAGAGCCTTGGGTGCCATGGTTTAGAGCGAGGTGTCCCTGCCCATGGCAGGGGGTTGTAACTGGATGATCTTAAGGTCTTTTCCAACCCTCACTATTCTATGATTCTCTGATCTGCCCCTGTGGCATCCTCTCTTGATGCTGCCAGCCCTGAATGGCTCCCAGTGAAACACACAGGGATGCAGGGAGCAGCCCCTTTCCCATGAGGGCTTCTCCATCCGGGCTGCAAAGGGGCTGATGTGCTTGAGGTACAGAGAGCTCACGTGTAACGTGCTCCAGGTTCCTGTCCAGCCTGTGACTGCTGCGGGCCCAGAGCACAGCAAGCCCTTGGAGAAGGCTGAGAGCCTCTTTAACCAGGAGAGGGACCCGAGGTTCAGCGAGATCTACAGCAGCATCAGCACAGGTAGGGATGCACTGCCAGGGCACGTGGTGGCTTCATCCAGTTTTAGCTTCAATCTGGGTGCGCTTTGCTCCTTCCTCAGTCACTCAGAGCAGCTCTGGGCACAGGAGCTCAGTGTGGCTGGGATGGGGCAGCCCAGCTCTTGCACAAGGGTGCTGCTGCTCGTGCCACTGGGTGGAATGGCTTGAACCTGCCCGAGGGGAGACTGAGCTGAGCTCTTAGGCAGAAGCTCTTCCCTGTGAGGGTGCTGAGGCGCTGGCACAGGGTGCCCAGAGAAGCTGTGGCTGCCCCATCCCTGGCAGTGCTCAAGGCCAGGTTGGACACAGGGGCTTGGAGCATCCTGCTCCAGTGGAAGGGGTCCCTGCCTGTGGCTTTAGATGAGCTTTAAGCTCCCTTCCAACCCAAACCATTCCAGGATTCCATGTGCTGATGTGGCAGGGAGCTGTCCTGCAGCTGGGGACGGAGGGGGTGTGAAGGTGTCTCCTGCTCTTTTCTGCCTTTGATTCTTGCTGTGTGTCCCTGGTGTGAGTGCAGGGGCTGCTGGAAGCCCAGAGGACCTTAACCTGAGTTTATGTACAAATGGAGAGGAAATCAAATTAAAGAGGCTTTTACAAAGCCATCTGGAGCAGGAGCGGTCACGTTTGCTTTGCCTCCCAGCAGTTTCCCTTCACACGAGCTCCTGCACCTGAATCTGTCCCTGTTCCTGCTGCTGAGGTTCCTCAGCCCTGAAGTGCCTCCCCCTCTCTCCCCAGACCAGAGCAAAGCTGTTCCTGCCAGCACAGTGCCTGCCAACCAGCCCCTCTTCAGCCAGGGGAACACCTTCACCCCATCGAGACCTGCTGAGAGCTTCAGGTGAGGCTTCGGTGCCCTTCTGAATGGCCTCCTGGTAACTCAGGCTTGGCCTGCCCTTGTCCCTGTCCTGGTTTTGTGTCCTGCAGCTGCTGAGCCTCTCCTTGTGTGCCAGTGATGGGCCATAAACGTGTTCCTTTAGAGTGGGCACAGGAAGAACAGGGGGAATCCATCCGGGCATCACTTTGGTTTGGGTGCTGGGGTGAGAAGGGTTCCTGCCTCTTGGACATGTGGGGGCTGAACCCCAAAGGCTGAGCCTTGCCCACAAGCCCCCAGTGCCATGGGTTGGTGGTGGTTTTGTTAGTCCCTGGTTATGGTTGGACTTGATGACCTCAAAGGTCTTTTCCAGGGTGGTTGATTCCATGATTCTGTTGTACTGGGGCAGCACGATGGGCACTGGAACCATGTTTCTGGGCTCATCTCCCCCACCAGTAACAGGCCCAGGGGTGGTGGTTGCACCTTGTTCCTCCCCTTTGGGATACAAGTGTCTCAGGGTGCCTCTTGTCCTGCAGGAGCAGCAGCATGGGCCCTCCTGTGAACATCATCCAGCAGCAGCCCTCCTCAGCGGGCCGGATCTTAGCGCAGATCTCGCGCCACTCCAACCCAGCTCAGGTCAGCGGAACCAACTGGGCTCCAGGGACACGGCCGGTGTTCACACCCCAGGTAGTGCCTGAGCCCTTGGTGCAGGCCCCGGGTCCCTGCTGGGGTACAGACCCTTCTTGCCACCACAAACGGACCTGCTTTAGCTCCCCAGCTGAGTGATGGAGCGGTGCTGTGTGCCTGGGTGCTTCCACTTGGGGCCAGTCCAGCAACTTGTGACCCTCGCTAAGAGCAGGTTCCAAATGCATCTCTCCTCTTCCTCTCCTGTTTCCTGTTCTTTCCCAGCAAGTGGCATCCCAGACAGTGAAGACTCGACCCCCTTCCTTCAGCATGGGGACTTTCCAAGGCACCCCGTCCTCCTTCAGCCCCATGGCAGCGCCTGGCTCCACAGCTTCCCCTACAGGGGCTGCGTACCCAAACCTTGCCAGCCGTGGCACAGGCTTCAGTGAGTACAGCTCGAGGTGCTGGGTGCAACAAGATCCCCTTGGAGGAGAGCTGGGAGCCAGATACAGCCCGGGTGGGAAATGCTCCCCATTGTTCCCTTGTGTATGCTGGGAATGCTGGAATGAAGCAGGCAGAGCAGAGCAGAGGGGGAGAATCCCCTCCCTCGACCTGCTGGAGAAGAGAAGGCTCAGGGGGGCCCTGATCGCTCCTGATCGATGGAGCCAGGAGGGGCTGGGCTCTGCTCCCAATGGAACAAGGGATGGGACAAGAGGAACCGGCCTCAAGCTGCACCAGGGCAGGTTTAGATGGAGCTGAGGAACGATTCCTGCCCCAGAGGGTGCTCAGGCATTGGAACAGGCTGCCCAGGGCAGGGCTGCAGGCACCGTCCCTGCCAGTGTTCACACACCCTCAGTGCCATGGGGCAGTGGTGGCCTTGGCAGTGCTGGGGAATGGTTGGACTGGAGGAGCTTAAAGCTCTGTCCCAGCCTGGTTGGTCCCTGAGTCCATGATGCTGTGCTGGGGATGCAGCCCAGCACAAGGGATCTGGGCTCAGGTGCACACTGACGGCTCTTGCTGAGCTTCCCAGCACCCAATCCCCCCTTGCCCTCGGGAGCCCCATCCCTGTGCTGGCAATGACGCGCTCCCTGTGCTCTGTTCCAGCCCCGGAGGCCGCGCAGCCCCCGGCACCGTTCCCGGCGCGGGCGGCCGAAGGCGTTGGGATGTGGCCGCAGTGGCAGGGGCAGCACCACGGAGCGGCGCCCGGCGAGCAGCACGTGCAGCAGCCGCAGCCCGGCCAGCCTGAGGTGTTCCCGGTAAGAGCCGGCTCCTGCCCCAGCCTCCGGAGCGGGGCACAGGGGACCGGGCTGAGGGAAGGAAGGGTCCTTGGTGCCCAAGGAGGGGCAGTGCCTCAAGGGCTGCAGCACATCTGGGCTGGAGGGGTGTAATGGAGGAGGTGTATAGACCCTATAGGGCAGGCTGGAGGTGTATAAGGAAGGAGGTGTATAGACCCTATAGGGCAGGCTGGAGGTGTATAAGGAAGGAGGTGTATAGACCCTATAGGGCAGGCTGGAGGTGTATAAGGAAGGAGGTGTATAGACCCTATAGGGCAGGCTGGAGGTGTATAAGGAAGGAGGTGTATAGACCCTATAGGGCAGGCTGGAGGTGTATAAGGAAGGAGGTGTATAGACCCTATAGGGCAGGCTGGAGGTGTATAAGGAAGGAGGTGTATAGACCCTATAGGGCAGGCTGGAGGTGTATAAGGAAGGAGGTGTATAGACCCTATAGGGCAGGCTGGAGGTGTATAAGGAAGGAGCTGTATAGACCCTATAGGGCAGGCTGGAGGTGTATGGAAGGAGGTGTATAGACCCTATAGGGCAGGCTGGAGGTGTATAAGGAAGGAGGTGTATAGACCCTATAGGGCAGGCTGGAGGTGTATAAGGAAGGAGGTGTATAAGGAAGGAGCTGTATAGACTATAGGGCAGGCTGGAGGTGTATAAGGAAGGAGGTGTATAGACCCTATAGGGCAGGCTGGAGGTGTATAAGGAAGGAGGTGTATAGACCCTATAGGGCAGGCTGGAGGTGTATAAGGAAGGAGGTGTATAGACCCTATAGGGCAGGCTGGAGGTGTATAAGGAAGGAGGTGTATAGACCCTATAGGGCAGGCTGGAGGTGTATAAGGAAGGAGCTGTATAGACCCTATAGGGCAGGCTGGAGGTGTATAAGGAAGGAGGTGTATAGACCCTATAGGGCAGGCTGGAGGTAAGGAAGGAGCTGCATAGACCTTATAGGTCAGGCTGGAGGTGTAGAAGACAGGCCGGAGGTCTGTAAGGTGGGCTGGAGCTGTATAGGGCAGGGTGGAGGTCCGGAGGTCCAGAAGGCTGGAGAATTGGAGGTCCGGAGGGCTGGAGGACCAGAAGGCTGGAGATCCAGAGGGCTGAAGGACTGGAGGTCCAGAGAGCAGGAGGGCTGGGAGACCAGGAGACCAGAGAGCTGGAGGAACAAAGGGCTGGAGAACCACAGGACTGGAGGTCCAAAGGAAGAGAACCAGAGGGCTGGAGGACTGGAGGACCAGAGGACCAGATGGCTGGAGGACTGGAGGTCCAGATGGCTGGAGGACTGGAGGTTTTGGAGGGGGCTGGAGGTCCCCAGGGTTAGAGTTCCAGAGGGCTGGAGGTGCAGAGGACTGGAAGTGTGGAGGTCTCCGGGACTGGAGACCCAGAAGCCTGGAGGATAAGAGGACTGCAGGACCAGAGGACTGCAGGTTCATAGTGTGGGAGGCCCAGAGAGCTGGGGGACTTGAATACCAGAGGGCTGGAGGCTTGAAGGTCCATTGGTCTGGAGGTCTGGAAGGCTGCGTCCTCAGGCTTGTGAAGGCGCAGCAGAGCTGCTCCTTGGGCGTGTGATGCTCTGCTCCAGCTGCTCTCTCCCTGCATCCCACAGGACATGCTGACCATGCTGGGAGAGCAAGGACCCAACTACAACAACGAGGAGTTCCCAGAGCTCAACATCTTCCCGTCCTTCTCGGAGTAGAGCCAGGCCTGGGGAGCTCACCCCAGCCCCATGTCCCAGCCAGGGCTTTGTCTCCAAGGCCTCTGAACTCTGACCACTTCCTGCCTTCTGGAAGTGAAGCTCCATCAGGGAGGAAGCTTGGCAGGAGGAGAAGATGCTGGTGAGGTTGTGGGCACCTGCCCTGTGTGTGGGGCTGGCAGTGGGGACTGGTCTGGAGGCCTCAGGACTGGAATGGTGCCGGAGCTCACCAAAGCCCCGCGGTTCCTCACGTTGGGCTGGTCGGAGGGTTCCTGTCTGGAGCACAGACAAAGCCCTCCAAGTTCCAAGGTGGCTTTTCCTGTTTTTATTTCAACCTTCTATACCCTGCCTCTCTTTTCTATAAAACACAAAGTATTGTAACTTTTCCAATATTGGAAGAAGCTCTTCCAAGTGTTAATCCATGTGGAACTCAATCCCAGAGGATGCTTGAGTAAGAGCCCGTGTCCAAAGCAGCTCCTCACTGGAGGAGCCCTCCTTGGAGGCTTGTTCCCAAAGCTCTGAGGAGCTTTAGATGCTCCCACGTTGGTGGGTGGTTGGATTCCATCTCTCCTGTGAACTGTGCAATGAGTTTGGGCCTTGGAGTCGGTGTCACCATCGACTCCCTTGGGCCTGGTTGTGCTGGGAATGATGGGATAGTTCCGAGCCATAAAGCTATTGTATCTCCAGAGCTTTGGTCTTGCTGCATCACTCCTGCAGCGGGTTCCTGAGCTGCCATCAATCACGGTCAGCTTGGTGGGGGCAATGGAACTGCTCTGCATGGGCAGTGGGGTTCCAGCACATGCAGATCCAGGTCCTCACCTTCCTGTTGGAGCTGAGCAGGAGCTGGTTTTCCCTCTCAACCACTGTCTCCTTAAAGGCAAATTCCTGCCTTGTGCTGACCCTGTTGCCAAATCCTGGGATGGAGGCAGCTGAGGCAGGTGGAATGGGAAGATGGAGGGGTTATACCCATCACCTTCAGATCTTGTGACAAGAAATGTGGGGCAAATCGTGCTCTCCTCCAGCTCCACACTTGGATTCCTGCTGCCAGGGCAAGCCTGGCTCCCATTCCAATAGGAATTGCTCACTGTGGAGTTGAACATGGAAGGAAACCTGGCACAAGCACAGCAGGGGAAGGACAAGCAGCATTCCTGAAGCCTGGCTGGATACTCCTCCCTCCTCCCTGCATCAGTGGGGCTGGCCAGGAGGGGCTGCTCTGGATGGAGCTGATGGTGGTTAAGATGCTCCCAGAGCGGCTTTTGGTACCATCCAACACCTGCATCATGTTCCTGCTCATGGAGGTCGATGCTCGTAGGGACCTGGAGAGGCTCCTCTTGGCATGGAGCACAAAACTTCCATTTTTACCACTTTTTCACCTGCTTTTATTGGAAAACTAAGATTTGAAGTTGTTTTTTTCCTCACTTCCATCCCCATTTCCAAATGTAGCCATGGGAAGGTGGAAACCTCCCATTCGGGAGTTTGGAACCATCCTGTGTTCCCCCTGGCTGGCCTTTAATCCAGGGAATCTGCTACCAGCAGTAACACGCTGGGATGCCTGTCCCATCCCAGTGCCAGCTATCCCAGGCATGGAGGTGTGTGTTTGGGAAGCAGCACAGTGGTACCTGCGTGCTCATGCACAGCTTGAGCTGTGCTGTGCTCCGCTGTGGGAGCCCTTCCCAACGGGATGCAGGAGGGAGCAGCCCTCGTTCTGCACCAGAACCTCCTCTTCCTCCTCATGTGGGCCCCGGGCTCCCTCTCGCTGCAGCACTCGGTGATGGTTCCATGGGGCAGAGATCTCACAACAGGGATTTCCCTTTGCAAAGCTCGGTCTTGTTCCTGCCTCCTCCCTCCCTGTGCCACAGCCACATCCTTCACCTAACAGCAATACTGGGACCCCTGGCTGCTCCATCCTGGCGTGCTCCCTCCCTTCTTCCCCCTCTTGGGTACTTAAATGGTTGTTGGGGCTGTTCAGCCTGGAGAAGAGAAGCTGTGGAGAGCTCAGAGCAGCTTCCAGTGTCTGAAGGGGGCTGCAAGGATGCTGGAGAGGGGCCTTCATCAGGGACTGGAGCGACCGGACAAGGGGTGATGGGTTCAGACTGGAACAGGGGGGATTTAGGTTGGATATAGGGAAGCTCTTCCCTTTGAGGGTATTAGGACACTGGAATAGGTTGAATGGAGAAGCTGTGGCTGCCCCATCCCTGGCAGTGCTCAAGGCCAGGTTGGACACAGGGGCTTGGAGCATCCTGCTCCAGTGGAAGGGGTCCCTGCCCCTTTGGCAGGGATTGGATGAGCTTTAAGGTCCATTCCAATCCAACCCATTCCATGATTCCCCCCAGAGAGATGCCCCTTCTTCAGCCTCACTGTATTCCCACCTCTTGGCTATCTTTGGCCTCACCCACATGGAGCAGGGCCCCCTAAGCCACTGCTCCCCCTCCCCTGCCCCTGCTGTGGGTGCTGGGTCCCCATAGGAGGCCTCACCCCTCGGTCACACTCGGCCACGTCAGGGCCCCGTGCTCAGGGCCATGAGTCCCCAGTGGAGCCTGACTCAGCCCCACTATGGGCAAGGGGAACTGGTGTCTGGGTGCGGGTCCCTGGCCCTGGGGACCCCTGCGGTGACATGGGGACAGCTTGGGGGGGGCCTCCATCCCCTTCACTGTGCCCCAGCAGTGGCCATCCCTGCACCCATGGCAGGGTGATGATGGTGATGGTGATGATGGTGATGATGATGATGGTGATGTCCCCGATGTGACGGGGCTGATGCCACCAGGCCATGACCAAGGTTTTCTGCTTGTCCCGGGCAGGAGCCTCGTGATGAGGTGCCCGTCACTGCAGAAAGCCCCGTCTGGTCCTGCTTCCCCCTGTGCTGCTGCGGGGTCAGGCCTGAACTGGGCACCAGTGGCCAAATCCTGCCCTTAGTGGGGCAGCAGCCCTTGTTTGGGGCACTGGGGACAGAGAGGAGACCCCGTTCCCTACTCCAGGCATCACACAGCATCCCTGGGGATGGTCCCATCCTGCCTCATCCTTTGGGACCACCGTGTCCCAAAGCAAGCGGTGCTCAGCTCCCTATGGGAAGCAGTGTGGGTCTCCTGGGAGTGCAGGCAAGGCTATGGGGCAAGGCTATGGGGCAGGGCTATGGGGCAAGGAGGTGTCCTTAGGGCAGGACATGGCTGGAGCAGGACCCAGAGCCAGCAGCCCCAGCGCTGGGGCTGACTCAGCATCACGTGAAGCCGGGAGGGAGCCGCTGCTGCATCCCCCCCCCTTCCCGGTCTCCTCCTTCCTCCACCCCTGGAGCAGGTCCCGAAACTTCCCAGCTGCCGCTTGCACTTCCTCAATCCCGGAGCATAAAAGAGCCGCGGCCGCAGCGCCCGCATCCCGGTCCCGCCTGCACCGTCCCCGCACCAGCACCGTGCTGGGGTAAGGATGGGGCCCATGGGTGGAGGGAGAGGAGGGTGGGAGACCCCCAGTGAGGCCTCATTGGGGTGCGTGGGTGGCTTTTCCCTAAGGAAATGGGGTCTTGTGGGGCAGCAATGGGGCTGAGGGGGGCCAAAGGGGAAACTGAGGCAGGGAGCATTGAGCAGGGCTGCGGGGGTTGGTGAGGAAGTGGGGTGAGGGGGTAAAGCAAAGCGGGTGGATGGGGCCTGGGGGTGCCCCCCTTTGCTCTGTGCACCCCACATGGGGTTTTCCTGTGCTTCGGGGCAGCTGGAGAGGCGCCGGCGTCGGGAATGGGAGCCAGGAGTCGGGGCTCATGTGATGCTGCTCCCGGCCAGCGCTGCCCCGGGGGCCCCAGGATGGGGAGGGGATCCTGGCCCAATCCTGCTGCTGGTCCCCATGGGGTCCTGGGCTCCCCCTGCCCCTATGCAGGGAGGGAATGGGGTCCCCCAGGGCTTGGAAGTGCGGTGGGCGCAGGGTCCCATTCCCCTATGGTGGTGATGGGCACAGGACCCTGTCCCCATCCACAGTGCTCAGCTCATCCCCAGGATGTGGTGGCCCACGCTGCTGGCCCTGCTGGTCCCTGCGGTGGCCCAGTTACAGCCGGAGCGGGAGCTGGATGCCCAGTGGGACCTATGGAAGAAAACCCACCGCAAGCAGTACAACGGCGAGGTATGGGGAGCGATGGCCCCATGGGGCTGTCCCTATGGGTTGTGGGGTGGAGGTCCCACCCTGCCCCATCTCACCCCATGGCGCAGGCGGACGAGGCGGCGCGGAGGCTGATCTGGGAGAAGAACCTCAAGTACATCAACAGGCACAACCTGGAGCACGCGTTGGGCGTTCACACCTTCGAGCTGGCCATGAACCACTTGGGTGACTTGGTGAGTGTGGGGCAGCAATGGGGTGGGAGACAGGGGGCTGAGCACATCCATGGGGCTGCGCTCATCATCCCCCCCCTTCTTCCCCACTGGGGGCTCCTTCCCCAGACCAGTGAGGAGGTGGTGAGGACAATGACAGGGTTGAAGGTGCCCCATAGCCGTCCCCATCGCAACGAGACGCTCTACATCCCCGACTGGACCGAGAGGGCCCCGGCGGCTGTGGACTGGAGGCGGAAAGGCTACGTGACCCCTGTCAAGAACCAGGTAACCGGGGTTGCTGCTGGGGGTGCTGGGTGTCCGGTGTCACCGCGGTGTCACCCCGGTGTCCCCATAGGGCCAGTGCGGGTCGTGCTGGGCGTTCAGCTCGGTGGGTGCCCTGGAGGGGCAGCTCAAGCGCAGGACGGGGAAGCTGCTGTCCCTCAGCCCGCAGAACCTGGTGGACTGCGTGGCCAACAACGACGGCTGCGGCGGCGGGTACATGACCAACGCCTTCGAGTACGTGCGCCAGAACCGCGGCATTGACTCCGAGGATGCTTACCCCTACATCGGCCAGGTCTGCGCTTGGGGCATGGGCTCTGTGTGCTCCCATCCCTCTGCTCCTTGGCCTGCCCTTAACCCTGCTGCTGCCCGCAGGATGAGAGCTGCATGTACAGCCCCACGGGCAAGGCAGCCAAGTGCCGTGGCTACCGCGAGATCCCCGAGGGCAACGAGAAGGCTTTGAAGAGGGCAGTGGCCAGGATCGGCCCCGTCTCGGTGGGCATCGACGCCAGCCTCCCCTCCTTCCAGTTCTACAGCCGCGGTGAGGGGCAGCTCAGGGAAGCCGAGGCACTGAGGATGCTCTGGGCACTGCGTGACCCCCTCCTGTCCCCCCAGGTGTGTACTATGATGAGAGCTGCAACGCACAGAACATCAACCACGCGGTGCTGGCGGTGGGCTACGGCACGCAGAAGGGCACCAAGCACTGGATCATCAAGAACAGGTACCCCTGGGCACCGGCGCCGCTTGGCTCCACTGGGTTGGGCTCCACCGGTGGCTCAGGCTCTGCCTTTTCTCCCCATAGCTGGGGTGAGGAGTGGGGCAACAAGGGCTACGTGCTCCTGGCGCGCAACATGAACAACGCCTGCGGCATCGCCAACCTGGCCAGCTTCCCTAAGATGTGAGCCCCATCCCGCTTCCCAGCTCCCGGTCTCTGGAGGGGAATCTCTGCCTTTCCATGAGAAACCTCCCCAGGAAAGGGGGGAGGCCCCAGCTCCATATGGAAGTTGGGATGAGCTCCCCCCCAGCTCCTTTGCCTGTGCCGGGTTCTGCCTTCCCATGGCCACAGACACTCAGGGCCGGCTCCAGAGAGTCTGATCCGCCTGGAGATGCTTGTGCGAACAGGCCCTGTTCCTCTGGGAATGGAGCATCCCCATGGAGGGCGCTGGCCCCCTGCGCCCTGCGTCCCACAGCGGGATGCAGGGAATGATAGGACTTCTATTTTTAAATAAACACTGTTGGGAATAAAGTCTGGGGCTGGGTCCTGTGGGGCTGGCCCCATGGTGGGGAGGGGCTGGCCCCATGGTGGGGAGGGGCTGGAGTGGTGGCAAAGTCCAAAAGGGGCAGGAGCTGATGGTAAAACACGGCTGACGGCTGGGGTGAGGTGGGGAGAGAAGATGCTACTGGGGGCTCCTTACACCACCAGCAAAGTCGGGGCTCAGGTGTACCCCATTCACGCCAATAGCAAGGTGGGAGCTCAGGTCTACCCCCATTCACGCCAATAGCAAGGTGGGAGCTCAGGTCTACCCCATTCATGCCAGTAACAAGGTGAGCTCAGGTCTACTCCCGTTTGCACCAATAGCAAGGTGGGAGCTCAGGTCTACCCCATTCACGCCAATAGCAAGGTGGGAGCTCAGGTCTATCCCCATTCACACCAATAGCAAGGTGGGAGCTCAGGTCTACCCCATTCACGCCAATAGCAAGGTGGGAGCTCAGGTCTACCCCATTCACACCAATAGGAAGGTGGGAGCTCAGGTCTACCCCTATTCACACCAATAGAAAGGTGGGAGCTTAGGTCTACCCCCATTCACACCAATAGCAAGGTGGGAGCTCAGGTCTACCTCATTCATGCCAATAGCAAGGTGGGAGCTCAGGTCTACCCCCATTCGCACCAATAGCAAGGTGGGAGCTCAGGTCTACCCCATTCACACCAATAGCAAGGTGGGAGCTCAGGTCTACCCCCATTCACACCAATAGCAAGGTGGGAGCTCAGGTCTACCCCATTCACGCCAATAGCAAGGTGGGAGCTCAGGTTTACCCCCATTCACACCAATAGCAAGGTGGGAGCTCAGATCTACCCCATTCATGTCAATAGCAAGGTGGGAGCTCAGGTCTATCCCCATTCACACCAATAGCAGGGAGTGCTCAGGTTTACCCCCATTCACACCAATAGCAAGGTGGGAGCTCAGGTCTACTCCGTTTACACTGGTGGTCCGATCCCTACCCCGTTCACGCTGAGCAAGGCTCCTGTGCTTGAGCTCATCCTGTCCCTTGGCTCAGCACCAAGTCCCACAAGTGCCCAAATCACAGCAGCAGCAGAGTGGGAGCGCTGCTCCTGGCCCTCCATAAGCCACATGAGAGGGGGCCATATGGGAGCCCCGCCACTCATGTGGGGGTGCTGGGGAGAAGACCCCCTCGTGTGCCATCACTCCCTGAGGGCACCGCGTGTCCTGCTCGGGCTGAGCCCACGGGAGGCTCGGCCAGCGCCGCTCCCGCTAAGTGAAAATGAAATCAGGGCATTTCCTCACTTCCTGGCTCGTGATTTCTGTGCTGAGCAGGCTCGGAGGCCTCGGGCCGGCCGGCGGTGGGGACGCTGCCCTGTCCCCACTGTCCCCACTGAGCCCGCACGCACTGCTGGGGCCCTGCAGGTCAGTGCCCAGCACCAGGAGAAGCCTTGCCAGGTACGTTGGGTGCTTTTGGCTTTACCCCCCGATGGGGAGGACGGAGCTTTGAGGAAGTAAAAGTGCAGGAGGAGGTTTTGATGTTGACTCTGGCTCCATTTTAGCTCTGATTCCCCCCAAGCCCTCTCTGGGCAGGGCTGCAGGAGGCGGCTCTGCCTCGGGAGCTGCTCTTGGGTGAAAAGAGGAGATTCTGGTTTGCTCTTTACGGTGCTGGAGCCCCAGGTCTGAGAGAGCAGCCTCATGCCCAGGTGATGGAAACACCTCCGGGGAGGGTTTCTCAGCAGGGTGGAACCAGGATCATGTCTGGATGTGTCCCTGCGCGTCGGTGTCCTCGGGGCTCGGGTCCGGCCGCCTTCTCCCCTTGCAGGCAGCGAGGCCGGGGTAGGATTCCCCTTCCCACCTTGCAGGGGTTGGGGGCACCAAGAGGGGAGCTCCTCTGGGCACTCAGGGCAGGAGCTGGTGGCATCACCCGGTGTAGAAACGCGGTGAAGGGCATGCCAGGGAGCCGAGGTCAGGGATGTCATCACCTCCTGCCTCTTACCCAACCGGATTTGTCACCAAGGGGGCAAGCCCGGCTCCTCATCCCTCTGCTCCTGGCGCTTGTGCCGTGTCGCTCCGGCTGCCCGGTCCCATTGGAGCGCGATGAAGCTGCTGCTTCCCATCGCCTTCCTGGCCACGCTTGTGGTGGCCCTGGGGCACCCTGACCCTGCGCTGGACTGGCACTGGCAGCTCTGGAAGAAGACCCATGGCAAGGAGTATCACCACGAGGTAGGGACGCATTGGTGGGTGGCTCAAGGCGCTGTTGGGTGGGTGCTGCTCACCGTAACCCAGCATCACCCCATTGGGATGCTGGGGATGGTTTGATGCACGCGCCCTTTAGAGGGATGGAGCGGGTGCAGTGGCTGCGGGGGCCGTCGCTGCCCATTGTGGGGCTGGGTTTGATTCCAGAAGGAGGAATGGGATCGACGGGAGATCTGGGAGAGGAACCTGCGCCTGGTGACGCTGCACAACCTGGAGCACTCCCTGGGGCTGCACTCCTACACGCTGGGCATGAACCACCTGGGTGACATGGTAGGTATGGGCCACGCTGCTGGGATGGGGCTTGTCTTGGTCTCTCATCCCATAGGAGGGGGATTTAACATGGGTTTGGGGTGGGAACGCACCCAGCACCTCCTCAACCCATCTTCTTGTGGGTTCCAGCAGCCACGGACAAACTGCTCTGACATTCCTGTGCTCAGCCTCCCAGTGTGAGGCAATGCGCTGTGAGGAAATAGCTCCTCAGTGCAGCCTTTGGGGTGCTCAGACCCAGTCCTGGTCATTCCATATACGTGTAACTCATCCCTCTTCAACGTCCTGAGCTGGTGGTGGTGGTTAATGACACATCCCAGCTCAGAGAGGGGCTGGGGTTGAGCTCTGTGCGTTCTTCTTACCCTTTCCAATGAATGGGTTGAATCCCAATGTGGAAAGCAGCCGGCCAAGGGCTGCCCAAGCTCAGCCACCCGGTGTGTAGGGAGACACCACCATGAGTCTCTGTTTTCTGCCCCCCCCAGACCAGCAAGGAGGTGGCAGCTTTATTAACGGGGCTCAGCGTCGCTCCCCGATCCCGGCGCATCCCCGCATCCCACCCGCATCCCCATGGCCGCCTCCCGGACACGGTGGATTGGCGGCAGCAGGGATGTGTCACGGATGTGAAGAACCAGGTTTGATCCGCCCCCCTCCCCTCCATGCCCCTTCATGTCCTGGTCCCTGAGCGGGGTCTGAGCATCTCTGGGGCCCCCTTAGGGCGCCTGCGGCTCGTGCTGGGCCTTCAGCGCCGTGGGAGCGCTCGAGGCGCAGGTGAAGCTGAAGACGGGGACCTTGGTGTCGCTGAGCACCCAGAACCTGGTGGACTGCTCCGTGCCGCAGGGGAACCGGGGCTGCAGCGGCGGGTTCATGACCAGGGCCTTCCAGTACATCATTGACAACGGTGGCATCGAGGCCGAGGAGTCCTACCCCTACAAGGCTGAGGTAGGCACCAGAGCCTCCGGTCCCAACCTCCCCTGGGGTCCTGCAGGAGCAGCGAGGAGCTCACCCCTGTGTAGGCACCTTCCTCCTCACCCATCTACCTCCTCCTATCGTGCTTGCTACCAACCTCACCTCATGTTCTCAGCCCTTTCCAACGCAGGGAAGGGACCTTTGGGCTCTGTTTTGGCCCCCAGGTGAATGACTGGACCTGGAGCCAGAATTTCCACAAGTTTCTGTCTGTCCTACGTAAAGGATTGGGCAACACGGTCCAGGGAAGGGGAAATGGGGCAGGAGGCCTGGGGCCTGCTCTCAGCTCTCTGCATTAATCCATCCTCTGTAGGGTGAGGATGTTCTTTAATAGCTGCCTATAACAGATAAGAGGTCCTGAGACAAGAGGGGGAGCAAACAAAGATCCCAGTGCTGAAGGTCTTGCTGGCCAGAGACAAGAGGTGGCCTGGAATGACCTGGTCTCAGACCCATGGCTCGGTACAAGGAAGAAAAGCAGAATAAAAGGCTTCAAACAGCTTCAGAGACCCCAAAAATGCTGCTCCCTCCGTCCAGAGGAGGATGGGGAGCCCTGGGCTTCATTTACATCATGAGGAATGTAGGTGAGATGGAAGGATGAGGAAGCGAGGACGGTGTCTCCAGGGAGGTAGGAGTCATCAGAGCTTTCTAGACCACAGGCAGAGCATTGTGTTGCAATGGTTTGGCTGCTCTTGCTGTAGGGAGTTGAGGTGGAGAAGATGGTCCCTTCAGGTCCTTCCAGCTACCTTTTCCATAGTCCTGGATATAGTACGTAGGTAGTAGGTAGTACTACATCCATACTGTATGTAGGAGTATGTAGGTAATAGGTAGTACTACATCCATACTGTATGTAGGAGTACGTAGGTAGTAGGTAGTACTACATCCACACCGTATGTAGTAGTACGTAGGTAGTAGGTAGTACTACATCCATACTGTATGTAGGAGTACGTAGGTAGTAGGTAGTACTACATCCATACTGTATGTAGGAGTACATAGGTAGTAGGTAGGACTACATCCATACTGTATGTAGGAGTACGTAGGTAGGACTACATCCATACTGTATGTAGGAGTGCATAGGTAGTAGGTAGTACTACATCCATACTGTATGTAGGAGTACGTAGGTAGTAGGTAGTACTACATCCATACTGTATGTAGGAGTACATAGGTAGTAGGTAGGACTACATCCATACTGTATGTAGGAGTACGTAGGTAGGACTACATCCATACTGTATGTAGGAGTGCATAGGTAGTAGGTAGTACTACATCCATACTGTATGTAGGAGTACGTAGGTAGTAGGTAGTACTACATCCATACTGTATGTAGGAGTACATAGGTAGTAGGTAGGACTACATCCATACTGTATGTAGGAGTACGTAGGTAGGACTACATCCATACTGTATGTAGGAGTGCATAGGTAGTAGGTAGTACTACATCCATACTGTATGTAGGAGTACGTAGGTAGTAGGTAGGACTACATCCATACTGTATGTAGGAGTACGTAGGTAGTAGGTAGGACTACATCCATACTGTATGTAGGAGTACGTAGGTAGTAGGTAGGACTACATCCATACTGTATGTAGTAGTATGTAGGTAGTAGGTAGTACTACATCCATACTGTATGTAGTAGTATGTAGGTAGTAGGTAGGACTACATCCATACTGTATGTAGGAGTACGTAGGTAGTAGGTAGGACTACATCCATACTGTATGTAGGAGTACGTAGGTAGTAGGTAGGACTACATCCATACTGGATGTAGTAGTACATAGGTAGTAGGTAGTACTACATCCATACTGTATGTAGGAGTATGTAGGTAGTAGGTAGGACTACATCCATACTGTATGTAGGAGTACGTAGGTAGGACTACATCCATACTGTATGTAGGAGTGCATAGGTAGTAGGTAGTACTACATCCATAGAGTATGTAGGAGTATGTAGGTAGTAGGTAGTACTACATCCATACTGTATGTAGTAATATGTAGGTAGTATGTAGTACTACACACATACTGTATGTAGTAATATGTAGGTAGTATGTTGTACTACACACATACTGTATGTAGTATGGAGCACTGGTGGTCAAAGAAAAGTGAGGAACGGGGTAGAAGGTAGAAGGGGGCTGATGGAAACCACACACCTGAGAGTCCTGAGATGTTCCTGGTGGATTCCTGGTGCTCCTCAACTCCCTTTTGTTCCTGCCAGAATGGGACATGCCAATACAACGCTTCGGCACGAGCTGCCACTTGCTCCAAGTACATTGAGCTGCCCTATGCTGATGAAGAAGCTCTCAAAGATGCTGTGGCCAAGGTTGGACCAATCTCTGTTGCCATTGATGCCACCCAGCCCACCTTCTTCTTGTACAAGTCAGGTCCGTCCTGTTAGCCTGGAGATCTTCTTCACAGCCTTTTCTGCACATAAAGCTCCTGAAATTGGGTAGGATTGGGCAAGTTCCTGGGTCTGAGGCAGAAGTTCTTCCCCTGAGGGTGGTGGGACACTATAATGGGTTGAATGGAGAAGCTGGGGCTGCCCCATCCCTGGCACTGCTCAAGGCTAGGTTGGAAGGGGCTTGGAGCATCCTGTTCTAGTGGAAGGTGTCCCTGCCTCTAGCAGGGGTTGGGACTGGATGAGCTTTAAGCTCCCTTCAACCCAAACCATTCCATGCTTCCATGAAGCTGGAGCTGAACTCCCGGTTGGACGCATCAATACGACAAAGCCCGAGGCAGCAGCACTGGAGGGAAGGTTGACTTTGCCTCCAGGATGAGGTCCTGTGGTCTGACGATGTGTTTCCAACCTCCTTTTGCTCCAGGGGTGTACGATGACCCCCAGTGCTCACAGGAGGTGAACCACGCGGTGCTCGTCATCGGCTATGGCACCCTGGATGACAAGGACTACTGGCTCGTGAAAAACAGGTAAGGACACAACCACCCATTGCTCCTTATCTCCAACCTCACTGCCTGTAGGCAATGTCTTCTCCTCATTGACCTCCCATTGCTCAACCCAACACCCTCACAACGTCCCGGTGGCCAACATCTATACAGATGGGAGGGATGGGAGGGATGCAGCAGGGGGTGTTACAGAGCTGGAAGTTGCTCTTGGTCCTGGAATCATGTTGGGGAGCACCTCTATGTCATCCCAGGACCTTTAAATGCATTTCAAATCCACTTCACACCCACCTGAAGCTCCCCTTACGCTGATGAGTGTTGATGTAATGCAACACAGACCCATTGGGGTAGAAGGGACCTGGAGCTCATCCAACCCAGTGTAGAATGAGGAGCCATAGGAAGCAGTTGGTGAAAACCCTTCCCTGTTGGGATGAGGGTGAAGCTGCTTCACTTCCAGGGAAGGGCATTAACGTTTCCTTGTGTCCCTTTGGTTCCTGTCCCATCCAGCTGGGGCGTGCGCTTCGGAGACGAGGGCTACATCCGCATGGCAAGGAACCGCTCGAACCACTGTGGGATCGCCAGTTATGCCTCCTACCCCCTCATCTAGGCACGGCATTCCTGAGGGATCCACCTCAGGATCTACCCCAGGATATCCCCCAACCCAGAACTACTGACCTTAAGGACCACTTTGTGCCCCTGTGGGCAGAGAGGATGTGATTTATAGGCACTTGGTGGCTTCTTTTGGGGGCAAAGTGGGGTTGTTTGAGGGTTTCAGAGTAGAACTGTGGGAGCCACAGCTCGAGCAGAGGTCGCCCACAGTGGAGACTGTGCTCTCCTCTCTCCAGTTCAGCACTGGGTACGATGACACTGGAATTATTCCCTCTTTGGGCAATGCTGATGCAATTGCAGACGTTCTTTGAGAAATAAAAGATCACTTTTGCTGTTCGATAGCTGATATCTGGTCTCTGGAGGCAGGAATGGGTGGAATTCTGGCTGGAATTCCCACCTGGCTCCCCCACATAAGGACCCCTCTCTCTCCACAAGTGATGCTTCACTCCTAACATCAGACTTCCCCATCCTCCTGCATTACCCACCAAGTATACCCGGGTCCTTGAGTGAAAGCAACCCCACGAGTGGGTTTGCCTTCACCTGAAGCAGGAATACCCCAGAGCTGTCTTCCCCAGCGCATCCTTCATGTGCACCACAGGAGCTTCATCCCACTCTGCAGTGAGTGAACGTTATCCCTGTTGGCAGATCCCCTGGTTGGTAGAGTGAGACTAAGACACAAACGAGGCCAAATGCTGCTCATCGAAGAGGTTCATTGGTCGCTTACCTGAACCCGGCCGTTACCGTGCTAAGGAAGCAGCGATGGGGAAGGGAGAAACAGCCAAGGGCTCCCTCTCTCGGGGAGCGGTGCCCGGAGCCCCCCGGCGCTCTCATCCGGGGAGCGCTGCGCTCGTTCCGGCCCCGCAGCCCCGATTCCAGCCCCGCAGCATGGACCGGGGCCGGTCCCCGCTCTCGGGCCCGGCTCTGCTGGAGCCCCAAACCCCTGGGGAAGGGGCCGGGACCGGCTCGGCCGAGGGCGCCGGGCTCCAACCCTCCGGGATGCGCGCACCGGGACCCACCCAGGGCCCATCCCCGGCCCTCGCGGCAGCCGCAGCCCCACGGGCCCGGTTCTGAGCAGTGACCCCCGCACGGAGCAGCAAAGCCGGGGGCAGCTCCAGCCCCGGCACCGACGGAAGCCCCGAGGCTCCCGGCTGCGCTTTGCGAGGCTCTGGAGCCGCAGAACGGACCCGGTTGTGCGGGCACAGCCTGGAAACGCGTTCCCTGCTCCCAGGAACGAGCGGGCCCGGCTCCATCCCCTGGGGGGGGGCTCAGCGCGCTCCTGCCTCCCTCTCCCATCGCATCCCCGCATCCCCGCAGGCACCGCTCACACAAACACGGGACCCGCTCCGCGGCCCCTCTGAGCGGTGCCGGGGGTCCCGCAGCAGGGTCCTGGAGCCCCTTGTCCCGAACCGGCGGCTCCTTAGGGGCAGTGAGCACGGGACAAGCACAGCAGCGAGGAGCATCCGTGGCACTGGCCCAGCCCCGGGGGGCTCATTGCACCCCATCAGACCTCGCAGACCCATGGCTCAGGGCAGCCCACAAACCAGCTCGCTGAGTGCAAACATTCAGCCCTGCTCTTAAACCTAAAGTGCCAGGATAAAATCCCGATGCTGGGCATCATGGACACATGGTGACCTCCAGACCGGTGTCACCAACATGGCAATCCACCCTTGCTTAGGCCCATCAAAGTCCATCTGTGTACTGCCTATATAGAACGCATCCTCATGTGCCCCTGGAAACAGTTCCCCAAGTGCAAACATCCAGCTCCTAAACCTGTGCACCAGGTCAGGCACTGGTGCTGGGCATCACCTACACATGGTGACCGCTGGACCAGTGTCACCAACACGGCAATCCACCCTTGCTTAGCCACATCAAAGTCCATCTGCGTACTGCCTATATAGAACACATTCTCATGCACCCCAGGAAACAGTGCCCCAAGTGCAAACACCCAGCCCCTGCTCCTAAACCTGTGCACCAGGTCAGGCACTGGTGCTGGGCATCACCTACACATGGTGACCACTGGACCAGTGTCACCAACACGGCAATCCACCCTTGCTTAGCCGCATCAAAGTCCATCTGCATACTGCCTATATAGAACACATTCTCATGCACCCCAGGAAACAGTGCCCCAAGTGCAAACACCCAGCCCCTGCTCCTAAACCTGTGCACCAGGTCAGGCACTGGTGCTGGGCATCACCTACACATGGTGACCACTGGAAAAGTGCCACCAACACGGGAATCAACCCTTGCTTAGCCACCTAGAGCTCCATCTGTGTGCTGAGCTCAGGATAGCACCCTCAGGCAGCCCACAAACCAAAGGGATTAGTGCAGACATCCAGGCCCTGCTCCCACACCCAAAGTGCCAGGACTAAAAGCTGGTGCTGGGCATCACCTACACATGGAGAGCTTCGGAATGGTGCCACCAACATGGAGATCCAGCCTTGCTTTGCCATCTAAACTTCCTCTGAGTACTACCCCGCTGTTGAGCGCACCAGATGTGCTAGAGCACGAACATCCAGCCCCTGATACAACACCCGAGGCGCCAGGAGAGAAAACCTGGTGCTGAGCATCACCTACTCATAGAAAGCTCTGTAATGGTGCCACCAATGTGGCAATACACCCTTGCTTTGCCACATATAACCCCATCTGCGTACTGCCTCTCTCCTGCCTGCTCTTGGGCCTCCTGGACCACTGCTCACAGAGTGCACAAGCCCAGCCCTTGCTTGCATGCCTGATGTGCCAGGATTAAAGGCTGGTGCTGGGCATCACCTACACATTGGGAGCTCCGGAACGGTGCCACCACCATGGCAATCACCCCCACAAAACCCCACACCCCCCCCCCCCCCCACCAGGATTAAAAGCTGGTGCTGGGCATCACCTACACATGGAGAGCTCTGGAACGGTGCCACCACCATGGCAATGCATCCTTGCTTTGCCATCTAAACCAGCATCTGCGTACTCACCCTCTGTTGAGCGCTCTTGAGGGTCCTGGAGCATGGCTCCCAGAGCAAACATCCAGTTCCTGCTCCAACACATGAGGTGCCAGGACCCAAAGGTGGTGCTGAGCATCACCTACACATGGGGAACGGTGCCACCACCATGGCAACCTGCCATTGCTTTGCCTCCAGCTCCATCTGCTGCTGCCCCTCTGTGAGATCTCAAGGGTGTTCCAGACAATCCCTCCTCCAACACCCAAGATGCCAGGGTAGAAACCAGTGCTGAGCATCAGCTGCCCATGGCAAGCTCCAGAGCAGTGCCACCGCCATGGCAATTCACCCCTGCTTTGCCTGGGTGCTTCTCAGCTCTCCTCACTCACAAGTCACTGGTTTCACAACGGAGCCCCTCAGCCAGCACCGCATCCACCGAAGCTGAGGGGAAAGGTGCTGTGTTTTATAGAGCCATGGGATGGTTCGGGTTGAAGGGACCTTAAAGCTCATTTAAAACCATGGCAGGGACCCCTTCCACTGGAGCAGGATGCTCCAAGCCCCTGTGTCCAACCTGGCCTTGAGCACTGCCAGGGATGGGGCAGCCACAGCTTCTCTGGGCACCCTGTGCCAGCGCCTCAGCACCCTCACAGGGAAGAGCTTCTGCCTAAGAGCTCAGCTCAGTCTCCCCTCGGGCAGGTTCAAGCCATTCCCCTTGCCCTGGCCCTGCATCCCTTGTCCCAAGCCCCTCTCCAGGTTTCCTGCAGCACTGGGATGAATCCCATGTGCACAATGAAAACCTCCCCTGAGCAGGGATCACGAGCACCAGTTTGGGGCATCCCCGTGACCCCAGTTCAACCAGTGCAGGCGGGAAGGGGATGCGAAGGAGGATTTGTGGATGCTACAGCGCATGCTGCAACCCAAGCACGCTGCTGCTGGCCTCAACCAGGGCAGGTGCTCCAAGCAAAGGACTTAATGTTCTGCACCAGCCCAGGGGTGCAGGGAGCAGCGGAGCCCCCATGGCCGTTGGCATCTTCCCATTCCCCATCCCACCACCAGCACGGAGCACCGGGACTGACGTTACCGGGAACAAAGGGCAACGGTGGCACCCGCTGGGCCCTGACCCAGTTTCACTTCATCTTTATCAGCCCCCATGCATGGGGAAGGGGATCCAGGGTCACCCCAGATGTCAGTGTGAGTGTGACAGCAGCCACACGAGGATGCTGCTCCAGCATGGAGCCGATCCCGCATCCCACTCCAGTGCAGCGATGGGAAGGCAACTTCCCTGGCAGGGAGCGGAGTGCTGCCTCAGCGCTTGCAGGGAGCTGCAGATGAGCTCCCCTATGCAAAAGCAGGTCATTAGCATGCATTAGAGCTCGGTGGTGGAGCTGTGCTGGGGGAGGCAGCAGCCCCCAGGCTCCCAGTGTCTCCTTCAGATGCTTCTGCTCATCCGGAGCATGGGGAACCGGTGTTTCGGGATATAAAGGGACTGAGATGAGGCTCCTGCTTCAGCCCCGGGGATGTGACCGCATCCCCAGTGCCCGCACTGGAGGGTTTGCATCCCCTCCATCACACCTGAGCAGGGTCACTGCTTCCATCAAAGTGCCCCATTGCGGTTCCATCCCTTGAAGTTGCCTTTAGGAAGAGCTTTGAAGCTGGAGCCCCTTCTTCCTCCACCTCCTGCTCCCAGGACCACTCATGTAGGAGCGTGGGATAGCTTAGGATGGACCATGGGGCCTGAGCCCCATGAGAGCCTGAGCCATGCCCAGTGCAGGGACTGATGCTCAGGACCACCCCTCCCCTGCCCAGCTCACTGCAGCTCTGCAGCGTTCCTTTCCCCATCAGCTTCCCATCACTTCTGAGTCACAAACAAGGCGATTCCCACTTCCTCCCTGTGCCCAAGGTGCATCTGGGGTTATAAATAGCTATTAAAGCTAATTAAACAAGCACCACCATTGCCTCGTGCAGCTCAGCTTGTATCGACACCTAAAAATACACTCCTGAGGTGCATCAGACCTGCCAAGGCCCCAAACCCCACCGGATCTCATGCTGGAGCTGAACACACGCACACCACCTCTATCCCCTTCCCCACAGCCCCATCAGCCCAATTTCACTTCCATCTCCTCCAAAGACAGGATCCCATCACTGAGTCTTCCCATCACGAAAGCCTCCGTGGCACAGATGGGGTTTGAATCCTTGTTGGATTGGTTCCATCCCAAGGAGATCCTGGCTTTGCTGGGTGGGATCCTGGTGGGTGCTGGGGGGCTCTGGGAGAAGCCCATTGGGGAAGGCAGGGTCCTGCTGGGGCTCTAGGAGAGGTGGTGGCCGGTAGGAGCGGGGGGCATGATCTGTGATGGGGGGCGTCTGGGGCACCCCGTAACCTGCAAGGACATGGTTGGGTTTGGTCCCCCCCATCCCCAAAGAGCTGATGCTCCTCTTCCCATGTCTGGTACCCATTACCTCTGCATAGGCAGTGGAAATCAAAGCTGGGTCCAGCCTCTTCCTCCTGAGAGATGGAGACTGTGGAGCAGAGCAGAGCATCCATCAGGCAGAGCAGGATGGACCCAGCGCCCTGGTGATGGGCTCGGGACAACCTCACCTTCCTGGTGGGCTGGAGACTGGAGTAAATGGTTCTGCTTTCGGGCTCCGGGGGGAGGCTGGGGCCCTGCAGGGAGGAGCGGTCCAAATGCACAAAGAACAGCAAAGTTTGGGCAAAAAGGGGTGGACTCTGAGGCTGAGCTGAAGGAGTCGAGCCCATGGGGAGCTGGAGCCCCCCCAGCACAGGCCTGGCCCTACCTGTGCTTTGCAGATGACAGCATAAATGGTGTTTTCCCCCGATGCGGCCTCATTCCTCGTTGTGCTCTGAGGGGGAAAGCAACCCCAGGCTGGTTAAAGGGAGGCCCAAGCAGAGGCCCCGTCCCCAAAGGGACCCCCCCAGCACTCACAGGGTCTTGGACTGTTTGGGCTTTTCCCACCTCCTCGTAGACAGTGAGTGCCTGCTCGATGTGTCCTGGGGAGGTGGAAGGGTCAGAGTAAGACACTGGGGGTTACAGACCCCGTTCTAGGGGGTGCAGCCCTCAATGGGCAGGAGAAGGATGCTACAGCTCGGAATGAAGTGTATATCCAGACCCAAACCGTCCTCCAGACCCCATGGGATGAGGCCTCCAGGTCCGGGCTGCTGGGATGCTTCCCCCATGCATCAGCCCAGGGCACCCTCCGTTGGCAGGGATGGGTGAAGGCTTCGTGCTCTGGCAGCACCCAGTGGATATCCCTTAGCCTCAGGAGGAGGAAGAGCCCCGGGGCCAGCACGGAGAGCATGAGGAGCATCCAGGACAGCATCCAGGAGCTGCCCAGCCTCAGCCCCACATCTGCCCGTGCCACAAGCACAGGGACAAACCTCTTGGGGGATCCTTTCGGCGTCTCCTCCACCAGTAGCAGGTGATGCCAAGGGCGATGGCGATGGCCAGGACCAGCACAGCCACTGCCACTGCCCAGCCTAGAACGATGCTGGCGAGCCCTGGGGGAGAAGGAGAGGAGAAGGGGAAGGCTCTGATGAGCCTCAGCCGTCTCTAAACAGTTTCCATCACCGCAGAGGACAGACCCGGCCAGGAAACCTCAGCGTGGGTCCATCACCCACACCCGGTGCCGTGCTTCCTCCCCCAGGAGGGGAAGCGGCTCCTGGCACCAGTGGGATGTGATCTTGGGACCCAGAGCGGCTCCGAGCGCATCCCTTGGGACCCAGAGCGGCTCCGAGCGCATCCCTGGGGACCCAGAGCGGCTCCGAGCGCCCCTACCCAACCCTTGGGACCCAGAGCGGCTCCAGCGCATCCCTTGGGCCAGAGCGGCTCCGAGCGCATCCCTTGGGACCCAGAGCGGCTCCGAGCGCATCCCTTGGGACCCAGAGCGGCTCCGAGCGCATCCCTTGGGACCCAGAGCGGCTCCGAGCGCATCCCTTGGGACCCAGAGCGGCTCCGAGAGCATCCCTTGGGACCCAGAGCGGCTCCGAGAGCATCCCTTGGGACACAGAGCGGCTCCAAGCGCACCCCTTGGGACCCAGAGCGGCTCCAAGCGCATCCCTGGGGACCCAGAGCGGCTCCGAGCGCATCCCTTGGGACCCAGAGCCGCTCCGACCCACACCCACCCAACCCCAGCATCCCTTGGGACCAGAGCGGCTCCAGCGCATCCCTTGGGACCCAGAGCGGCTCCGAGCGCACCCACCCAGCTCCGAGCCATCCCTTGGGACCCAGAGCGGCTCCAGGCATCCCTTGGGACCCAGACCACCCACCACTCCAAGCCATCCCTTGGGACCCAGAGCGGCTCCAAGCGCATCCCTTGGGACCCAGAGCGGCTCCGAGCGCATCCCTTGGGACCCAGAGCGGCTCCGAGCGCATCCCTGGGACCCAGAGCGCCCAGCGCACCCTGGGACCCAGAGCGGCTCCGAGCGCATCCCTTGGGACCCAGAGCGGCTCCGAGCGCATCCCTTGGGACCCAGAGCGCTCCAGCCATCCCTTGGGACCCAGGCGGCTCCAAGCGCATCCCTTGGGACCCAGAGCGGCTCCGAGCGCATCCCTTGGGACCCAGAGCGGCTCCAAGCGCATCCCTTGGGACCCAGAGCGGCTCCGAGCGCATCCCTTGGGACCCAGAGCGGCTCCGAGCGCATCCCTTGGGACCCAGAGCGGCTCCAAGCACATCCCTTGGGACCCAGAGCGGCTCCAAGCGCATCCCTTGGGACCCAGAGCGGCTCCGAGCGCATCCCTTGGGACCCAGAGCGGCTCCAAGCGCATCCCTTGGGACCCAGAGCGGCTCCAAGCGCATCCCTTGGGACCCAGAGCGGCTCCGAGCGCATCCCTTGGGACCCAGAGCGGCTCCGAGCGCATCCCTTGGGACCCAGAGCGGCTCCAGCGCATCCCTTGGGACCCAGAGCGGCTCCAAGCGCACCCTTGGGACCCAGAGCGGCTCCGAGCTCATCCCTTGGGACCCAGAGCGGCTCCTAGCGCATCCCTTGGGACCCAGAGCGGCTCCAGCGCATCCCTTGGGACCCAGAGCGGCTCCGAGCGCATCCCTTGGGACCCAGAGCGGCTCCAAGCGCATCCCTTGGGACCCAGAGCGGCTCCGAGCGCATCCCTTGGGACCCAGAGCGGCTCCAAGCGCACCCCTTGGGACCCAGAGCGGCTCCGAGCGCATCCCTTGGGACCCAGAGCGGCTCCGAGCGCATCCCTTGGGACCCAGAGCGGCTCCAAGCGCATCCCTTGGGACCCAGAGCGGCTCCGAGCGCATCCCTTGGGACCCAGAGCGGCTCCCAGTGCATCCCTCGGGACCCAGAGCGGCTCCGAGCGCATCCCTTAGGACCCAGAGCGGCTCCGAGCGGCTCCAATGGGCTCCAAGCGCATCCCTTAACCCGTGACTGAACGGAGCTGAGGATGAGTTACCGGCGGCCGCGGCGCTGCAGGCTGCCGCGATGCTGGCGTTGGCCGAGCTCCAGCTCACCGCGTTGCTCACGTTGCAGCCGCACACGATGGGGCCGGCATCCCCGCGGAGCCGCCGGTGCAGGCGGGGCCCAGGCTCGGGCGCCCCCGCCGCATCCCCGCTGCAGGACCAGCTGTAGGAGACGGGGCCGGCACCGGGCGCCGAGCAGAGCAGAGAGAGGTTGCACCAGCCCCGCTCCTCGGGCAGGACGAGGCTCTCCACACGGGGCGGCTGGAGGGGCTCTGCGGGGATGGACGCGGTCAGAGCGCAGCGGGGACGCGGGGCGCAGCGGCTGCGGGCCGGGCACTCACCCCACACGGACACGCGGAAGCACCGCGGGATGAGCTCGCCTCCTGCGTCCTCGAACTCGGCCTCGTAGAGCCCCGCATCCGCGGTGCGAACGGGGCTGATCCGCAGGGAAAGGGGCTCCTCCTGGAACACGGCTCTGCCGGAGAACGGGCTCTTGCGGATGGAGGCGGGTTTGTTCCTCTCGGCCACCAGGATCACCTGGTAGGAGCCTGCGTCCATCCCCGTTCTCCATCTGACTCTGGCCCATTCCCGCACGGGTTTCTCCGGCAGCAGCTCCAGCATTCCGTTGGCAGACACCGCTTGCTCCTCGCACTCCAGGGGTCCTGCAGCAGACAGGATTGAGCCCATCCCCATCCCCACCTCGGGCTTCCCCTTCCTCTGCCCATCCCAGGCTGGCTCTGCCTGTCCGCACCCTGCTCCTGCAGTACCCTTTGCCCTGCCCCGACCAGGGCCGGTTGCAGACCCTCTGACCACAGCATCTGCTCCTTCCTTTGTGCCCCAGCTCCTTCCTCGCAGACCCAGCCTGGCAAGCAGCAGGAACGTTGCCTGCTGGACCCTCTCATGAGTGCGCTCAGCCTCGGATGTCAACAGCTCTGGCATGAGGCAAGAGACAGAAAGCCCATAAATGAAATGAACACCCCAGAGCCTTGTGGCTTCCTCCCTGTGGTCAGGGCAGCGCTGGGGCTGCAGCACATTCATGGAACCAAGCGTCAGCCCCCAGGGGCTTGGCTTCAGCCCAAGCAGCCCTGGGCAGGGTTTTGCCTCCATGCTCAGGGTGAACACTGAGAGCATGGCCCGGAGACCCCCAGCAGCTCCAGCGCTGCAAAGGCACAGGCAGGAGGATGTCTGCCTCCACCAGCGCCAGGGTGCAGATGGGACATCCCTGTGCCCACCGGATCCCAGTATGTTAGAGATTGGAAGGGACCCCAAAACCTCATCCAGTCCAATCCCCCTGCAGAGCAGGAACACCCAGATAAGGTTACACAGGAACGTGTCCAGGCGGGTTTTGAATGTCTCCAGAGAAGGAGACCCCACAACCTCCCTGGGCAGCCTGGTCCAGTGTTCTGGCACCTCACTGAGAAGAAGTTTCTTCTCAAGGTTAAGTGGAACCTCTTGTGTTCCAGTTTGTACCCATTGCCCCTTGTCCTATCATTGTTTGCCACTGAGAAGAGCCTGGCTCCATCCTCGGGACACTCCCCCTTTATATATTTATATACACTAATAAGGTCACCCCTCAGTCTCCTCTTCTCCAAACTATAGAGACCCAACTCCCTCAGTCTTTCCTCATAAGGGAGATGCTCCACTCCCCTAACCATCTTAGTTGCCCTAAGTATCCAGGGATACAAGAGGCTGGAGCAGTCAAACATAGAAGCATCCTCCCTGGGAGAAGGAAGAAGCAGGCTCAGGAGCAGCCACTATTGATCAGTTCCCACCAGGACCTGCAGTTGGTGACAAAGGGACCCCCCCTCCCACCACCACCACACCAGGTACTAAAGAGCCCCCAGGACACCAGGACCATTGCTTCCTACCGCTCTGCAGGCCCCAAGTGCTGCGAGCAAGGTGGGAGGGCACATCCTGCCCTCAGCCCGCGGTGCTGGAGCAGTGAGCGTGCAGAGCAGGGGAAGTGCAGGCCGGGGGTGGGAGTGTGACCCTGCAGGGTCAGTGCTCCGCAGGCCTAACCACGCTGTGAGCTTTAACCCTGCTGTGGGCAGGCTCTGCAGCTCAGCTGAGCCCCGGCTGCTGCAGGCTCTGCAGCACCCGCCTGGTGCAGCTCTGAGCAGTGAGAGCACCGGGACTTGAACCCTGGGATGGTTGGGAGGGACCTGAGGGCTCATCCAGCTCCATGGCAGGGACCCCTTCCATTAGAGCAGGATGCTCCCAGCCCCTGTGTCCAACCTGGCCTTGAGCACTGCCAGGGATGGGGCAGCCACAGCTTCTCTGGGCACCCTGTGCCAGCGCCTCAGCACCCTCACAGGGAAGAGCTTCTGCCTCAGAGCTCAGCTCAGTCTCCCCTCGGGCAGGTTCAAGCCATTCCCCTTGCCCTGTCCCTGCATCCCTTGTCCCAAGCCCCTCTCCAGGTTCCCTGCAGCCCCTTCAGGCACTGGAGCTGCTCTAAAGCTGCATTTCTGGGTACAGGAAAAGCCACGTCTGGGCTCAGGTCATGGTTGCTGCTCCAACAGGGAAGTGACTCCTTTGGATGAGCCCCAGGAGCAGCAGCGCTGGCTGCGGAGGGAACTGGGCAGGATGGGGCACCGGGAACAGCCCAAACCTTCCCACCCAGGCCCTTTCTGTCTCCATAGGGACCCGGGCTCAGCGGCAAAACCTCCCCTGGCACCCATCCCTTGTGCTCCCCATGCCTGCACCCATCCCTTGTGCTCCCCCATGCCTGCACCCATCCCTTGTGCTCCCCATGCCTGCACCCATCCCTTGTGCTCCCCATGCCTGCATCCATCCCTTGTGCTCCCCATGCCTGCACCCATCCCTTGTGCTCCCCATACTGCACCCATCCTGTGCTCCCCATGCCTGCACCCATCCCTTGTGCTCCCCATGCCTGCACCCATCCCTTGTGCTCCCCATACTGCACCCATCCCTTGTGCTCCCCATGCCTGCACCCATCCCTTGTGCTCCCCATGCCTGCACCCATCCCTTGTGCTCCCCATACTGCACCCATCCTGTGCTCCCCATGCCCCACCCCCCCCACTGCACCCATCCCTTGTGCTCCCCATGCCTGCACCCATCCCTTGTGCTCCCCATGCCTGCACCCATCCCTTGTGCTCCCCATGCCTGCACCCATCCCTTGTGCTCCCCATGCCTGCACCCATCCCTTGTGCTCCCCATGCCTGCACCCATCCCTTGTGCTCCCCATGCCTGCACCCATCCCTTGTGCTCCCCATGCCTGCACCCATCCCTTGTGCTCCCCATGCCTGCACCCATCCCTTGTGCTCCCCATGCCTGCACCCATCCCTTGTGCTCCCCATACTGCACCCATCCCTTGTGCTCCCCATGCCTGCACCCATCCCTTGTGCTCCCCATGCCTGCACCCATCCCTTGTGCTCCCCATGCCTGCACCCATCCCTTGTGCTCCCCATGCCTGCACCCATCCCTTGTGCTCCCCATGCCTGCACCCATCCCTTGTGCTCCCCATGCCTGCACCCATCCCTTGTGCTCCCCATCCTGCACCCATCCCTTGTGCTCCCCATGCCTGCACCCATCCCTTGTGCTCCCCATGCCTGCACCCATCCCTTGTGCTCCCCATGCCTGCACCCATCCTGTGCTCCCCATGCCTGCACCCATCCCTTGTGCTCCCCATGCCTGCACCCACCCTTGTGCTCCCCATGCCTGCACCCATCCCTTGTGCTCCCCATGCCTGCACCCACCATCCCTTGTGCTCCCCATGCCTGCACCCATCCCTTGTGCTCCCCATGCCTGCACCCATCCCTTGTGCTCCCCATGCCTGCACCCATCCCTTGTGCTCCCCATCCTGCACATCCCTTGTGCTCCCCATCCTGCACCCATCCCTTGTGCTCCCCATGCCTCACCCATCCCTGTGCTCCATGCCTGCACCCATCCTTGTGCTCCCCATGCCTGCACCCATCCCTTGTGCTCCCCATGCCTGCACCCATCCCTTGTGCTCCCCATGCCTGCACCCATCCCTTGTGCTCCCCATGCCTGCACCCATCCCTTGTGCTCCCCATGCCTGCACCCATCCCTTGTGCTCCCCATGCCTGCACCCATCCCCCACCACCCACCCCCCCACCCACCCACCCTTGTGCTCCATGCCTGCACCCATCCCTTGTGCTCCCCATGCCTGCACCCATCCCTTGTGCTCCCCATGCCTGCACCCATCCCTTGTGCTCCCCATGCCTGCACCCATCCCTTGTGCTCCCCATGCCTGCACCCATCCCTTGTGCTCCCCATATGCACCCATCCCTTGTGCTCCCCATGCCTGCACCCATCCCTGTGCTCCCCATGCCTGCACCCATCCCTTGTGCTCCCCATGCCTGCACCCATCCCTTGTGCTCCCCATGCCTGCACCCATCCCTTGTGCTCCCCATGCCTGCACCCATCCCTTGTGCTCCCCATGCCTGCACCCATCCCTTGTGCTCCCCATACTGCACCCATCCCTTGTGCTCCCTATACCTGCACCCATCCTGTGCTCAGCCCCACCAGCTCCCCCTGCACCCAAGCCATCCCCCCCCTCCCACCCATCCCAGCACCGCGGCCCCTCCTCACCTCGGTCCCCGGCCGTGACCATCGGGGCCAGGACCAGCAGCGCCAGCGCGCACCAGGGACCCCGGCCCCGGTGCCCCCCGTGCTGGGGCATCTTCGGAGCAGCCGATGCGGCCCCCCCCCGGAGCCGGCTCCGTCCTGAGCCAACTTCCTCTCCCCGCGGTTCCTCCACCTCCGGCTGCTGCCCTTGCGCTGCTCCCCCCAGCCCAGCCCTCGGTGAGGGGGTGTCAGGGTCCCGGCTCCCCTCGGTCACAGGGCTCGAAGCTGCCAACCCCAAAGGAAGGGGTGGGTTGGGGGGGGGGGGGGTGTTTGCTCTCTCTTTGCCGCTCGCTTCGGGAGAAGCAGTTTGTGACGTTGGGACGGGTCCTGCACCCTGACCGCAGGCCACAGCTGCAGGGCTCAGCGCAGGGAGGAGCAGAGCCCAGTGCAAGGAGCCCTGCAATGGGATCCGGGATGTGGGGGGCAATGGATGCAGAGCCAGGGCCCCAGTTCCCACCTTTCCCTGTGATAACCATGGAGCATCGCCCCCTTCTCCTCCTCGTCCATCTCTTCCTCCCCTGTGCATCCCAAGGTAAGCGTGGCCCTGCCATAGGACATGCAGTGAGTTGTGTCCAGGCTCTGCACCCGTGTGAGGCTGGGAAGTGCTGTGGGAGCCTGCTCCTGGGGCTGGCTGGGCTTTATTTCCCCTGCTGCTTGCAAGTGAATGGCTCATCATGGGGTCAGAGCAGTCACTTGGGCTGTTGGGTGAGAAATCAAACCCTACACATAGGAGCTGGAAGGGAAAAGGCGTTTTGGAATGGCCAAAAAGCTCATTCTGGCTTCAATTGGGGCAGGAAGAAGGAATTCTGGTTAAAACATGGGCTTTTTCTCTTCCAAGTATTGCACACCTAGGAAAAGCAATGCTCTGCTCATGAGGGTTTGGTTTGTAGGAGGAGGCCCAGGGCAGGCCTTTGGAAATGGGGTTCCCTCTCTATGAGCCTTAAATGATAAACATATATAGGGAGAAAATACCCCTATGGGGCCCAGTGCCTCTTCCTCAGCAGAAGGTAAGTGCAGGCACAGGATGCAATGGAGGAACTGAGAGTGGTTTCCCAACCTCTGCTTGGCCTCCCCCTTGGCAGGGCTGAAGGCACAGGATGTGAGGCTGTGAGCCCCAGATCCACGGGGATGGGCAAAGCGGGGCTGTGCCCCCTCCGCAGACACAGAGCAGCTCCCAGTCCCTTGCTCACCGGTCTCTGCTTTAGGATGTACTGGGGGGTTCATTTCATTTAGGGGCTTTCTGTCTCTTGCCTCATGCCAGAGCTGTTGACATCCGAGGCTGAGCGCACTCATGAGAGGGTCCAGCAGGCAACGCTCCTGCTGCTTGCCAGGCTGGGTCTGCGAGGAGGGAGCTGGGGCACAAAGGAAGGAGCAGATGCTGTGGTCAGAGGGTCTGCAACCGGCCCTGGTCGGGGCAGGGCAAAGGGTACTGCAGGAGCAGGGTGCGGACGGGCAGAGCCAGCATGGGATGGGCAGAGGAAGGGGAAGCCCGAGGTGGGGATGGGGTTGGGCTCAATCCTGTCTGCTGCAGGACCCCTGGAGTGCGAGGAGCAAGCGGTGTCTGCCAACGGAATGCTGGAGCTGCTGCCGGAGAAACCCGTGCGGGAATGGGGCAGAGTCAGATGGAGAACGGGGGGGATGCAGGCTCCTACCAGGCTCCGTGGGGATGCCGACCCCATCGTGTGCTGAGCGCTCTGCTCCAGTGGAAGGTGCCCCTTCCTGTGGCTTTGGATGAGCTTTAAGGTCCCTTCAACCCAAACCATTCCATGAATCCAGGATCATTAACGTGGATCTCTCTCTGCAGGAGCTCCCAGGGAAGGGGCTGCTCTTCCTGCTGGTGCTGGGCAACCGTGGCCATCACACACATCCTCATCCGGCCGCAGGGATCCCTTCCCTGCCGTGTCCCTGCCTCTTCGTGTGCTGGGGAGGGTCCCCCGAAAGTAGGAGCCTGCGAAGCAGCCGCCAGCCCCTGCTCCACTTTGTGCATCAGCTCCAGCCTCAAACACCCCAAGAAACGAGCTGCTGTAAGCCATGGAGAGCCTGAGCGTGGATTAAGGGAAATCACACTCTTTCTTCCCTTGATGCGCTGTATTTTGCGTTCTTGGACAAGTTCTGGGCTGTTTTCCAGGGAGGACACAGCAAACCAGCCAAGGGTTGATGATGCTCCCCTCCAACCACCCCAGGCTGGGCTTCTCCCTTGGGTTTGGGCAAGCAGGGACAGGCTCCAGCACCCTCCATCCCTTCGGGCTGGGATGGAGCCACCCTGAAGGGATCGGGATGTGGGGACTGAGGAGCATCCTTAATGCACCTTGGAATGTCACCCTCTCCCTGCAGAGGTTTATTCCCTCTCTCAAGTACCCCAACTCTTCCTTTGGGGCACCAGACGGAAGGAACATTGTGTTATCTGTGCACAGCAGCAGTCTGCTCGTCCCTTATCCAGCCCCATCCAACAGATGCCACCTCCTTAAATCAACGCACGATGTCCATGAGCTCATCCCAAGAGCGGTTTTCCTATGAGCCAGGCTTTTCCTGGGCCATCAGGGATGGACAAGGGCTCGGTGTCCCCTGTCCCCCACTGTCCCCTGCCCAGCAGCATCACCACAGTGCTGCTGGAAGAGAGCAAGAGACGCGATGGGATGCTGGTGGCCTCTAATCCCATCGTCCCGCCGTCTGCTTCTGCCCTCCGATCCGCCCTGCTAATCTCCTTATGGTAAGCTCATTGCCTCTGAGGCGGTCCTGAGCCATTCCCAGGTTGGATGTGGGCAGGAAAACTGTGGTTGGGAGCTGGGTGCTGCATGGGAGGAGATGGGGATCCCACTTGCAGAACAGCCTCCCCCAGCAGGGGCCGTTGGCTGGTTCTATGGGAAAACTGGGACAACGGGTGGGAAAGGGGCAGATTCCCAGTGAAAATCTTGGGAAAAGGCCCTGGCGCTGGGAACAGAGAGGGATGGGATCAACTCTGCGGGTTTCCTGCTAGATTGAAACCTGCTGTGTGCCCAAGGGATGCACAACCTGATGGGTCCTGCTCCATCACCCCTCCGCAACCAAGTGCTTCAGGGCCATCAGTGGGGGAAACTGAGGCACATCCCAAGCCTGGATGGAGCCGGCTGGAGCAGCTCCGTCAGCTTTTCCCTCTGGATCCCACAGCCCCTTCCTCCCCCTCGCAGGCAGACGAGCAAAAACCCAATTAAGGCTACAAAGGGAAAAGCAGCATCTTGCGAGGGTGGAACCTCGGCTCCGGAGACGGGGCTGAGCCGATGAATCAGAGCTTTTGTCCGGGCTCCATCCCCATGCAGGGAGCAATTCCCCTCCCGGAGACCTTCCCTGGGCTGGGAGAGGGATGTGCCCAGGGAGCTCGATCCATAGGAGAGGCTGGGAAACAAGGAAGGGAGACGGGAATGAAAGGGAAGCGTTAGCACATCGCGCAGGCAGCGTTGAGGAGGACGGGGAGACGCTGCCTCCCGCAAGCACCGCATTGCAGAGGGTGTTCTTATGCAGCGCATCATCCGCGGGTCCTCATCCCCCTGCCAGCAAAACTTGATCCTGGAGCAGCATAGGGCGGCTTGGGGGGGGTCACGGGGCTGTGCTGAGGATGCTTCCCCACCTCTGGAATCCCTCCGGTGCTCGGGAATGCGGCCGGTGCGGCCAAACCACGGTTTGGGATGTGCAGGTGGGAATGGGAATGGGAAGGGGGTGGTCACCCCCGACGGGGTTAACACCATTGGGGACTCCAGTTCCCCCCCCCTGCAAACAGGCGCCTTTGTGAGTGCTTTTCTCTCGCAGCCCATCCCCGTGGCCTCCCGCCTGCACCTAAAGCATGGGAGGAGGAAAAACCTCAACTATGGAGAGCTCCAAATCACCTCAATTGAACCCAAAATGCTCTCCCTGGCCGGAGCGCGGCTCTGCCCGAGAGGTGGCAGCACCCGACCGCGCTCCGTGGTACCCGCGATGGGCTGGGCAATGGGGGGCTCGGCCTGGCCTTTGGCTGGGGTCCCTTAACCATCACCACCACTCCCCCCAGCACCCATCCCGCAGGAGCTGAGCCCTGGAGCTGTGCCTTGGTTCCCAATCACTTGGGGGAAGCAGTAAGTGGATGGGAAGCTTCTCTCTGGGATGGGATAGGGATGGAGGATGGGTCCTGCAGGTTCCCACCAAGAGCATCTCAGGGAGGGACCGAACCTCCCCACAGAAAATTCCCCTATCCTGGGAATTCCGAGTCTCTGTTCCCAACGGGAAAAGTGCTGGGATGCGCAGGGGAAGGACACCGGCACCATCTCTGCCCACCCAGCAAGTGAGATCTGAAACCCCAGCTGCTGGTCCCACCACCTCCATTGGGGTATTCACCAACTGCACAAGACAGAACCAGGGAATCCTGGACTGATTCGGGTTGGAAGGGACCTTAAAGCTCATCTAAAGCCACGGGCAGGGACAGTGGGAGCTGCCCCTTCCTCTTCTTCCTCAGCACGTCCTCAGCTGCCACCACTTCCCCCATGGGGCCCATCCCACCTCCAGGCACCACTTCCCTCACCCACCAGCACCCACCGGTGTCCTTCCTGCTGATAGGCCTTGTGCAATCCCCTCTGCCAGCCCTGCCGGGGGGTTTCCTGCCCCCGTGGGACTCATCTCCATGGGTCGGGGACCGCAGCATCTGCTCAGCCCCACACATGCGGAGGGGACATGGCTGGAGCTGGGACCTCGCTTGTTTGCTGTGTGCTGCTGGTGGCAGCCAAGGGTAAGGATGCTCTTGGGTGTGGGAGGCCGGGGCAGATGGGTTGGAGCATCCCATCCCTAGGGATGCTTTGGGAGGGAGAAGACGGAGACCACCCTCACCATCTCCCCACCCCAACCATCCCCTTGCAGGTCTGTGTCTCTGCTGTGCCATGGAGATGCTGAAGGGGTGGAAGGGGCACTCCTTGTCCTTCCCAGCCCTGCATCTCCTGTCCCATGACATCGTGCGGGTCACCTGGAGGACCAGAGGGACCCACATTGCTGAGGCCAAGCCCCTGGGGAGGATGTTCACCACTGATTTCCTACCGGAGTTCCAGGGCCGGCTGCT